TCTATTGACCAACTGGAATATGAATACCAAAATACTATGGGACAAATAGCTTTTTATTATTATTATTCCCTTGGGTTCCAAGTGGAACATAGGGATTCCACAATACATCTCCACTTTGTTCTGTTTCCTGCCATCCTCTTCAACTGGGTCCACGATTGCCCATAATCTCTCATCTCCTCCTCGCCACACAATATCCTCCATGTCACCCCCTCACTGACAACCCACTCATCGCCTCCCATTCGGATTCCACTCGATGTCATTCGAAAGCCTCCTCAACGTATGCGCTATCCATCTCCATTTTCTTCTACATATTTGTTGAGCAATCAACTCTTGGTTGGTTTATTCCCAACCAGAGATTCTTGTTGTTAATTCTTTCTGGCCACCCGGTCGGCAATTTGATCTTCAGTATGCAGCCAGCGAAGGTGGTAGCTGTTGATAAAAGTCTGAAGCAGCCTGTTGGAAATCGTTTTCGTGATGCGCAGTGCACTTTTCTGACCCATATAGAAGAACTGACTGACTTCACATTTGTGTTGAAAATGCGAATCTTGTTCTTTATGCTGAGTGCAGAAGATTTCCAAACTGGTTTCAGGTTGATGAAGACGTATCTTGCCTTTCCGATTCTGGCTGACTTTGACATCTTCATCCTTTCCGCTTGTAGTTGAAACGATGCTTCTTAGATAAGTGAAGCCAGGAAGTAACCTCTGTTAAATCTCTCCCGTTGATGGTGATTGGTACTGGTTTTTTATTGATGTTGGTTCGTATCTTCATCACCTCCGTCTTCCCTATATTCACCTGGAGTCCTGTCTTCGTTGCCAGCCTCTTCAGCCAGTTTGTTGGTTTTCGCCTGTAAGTTTTCGAGTTTGTGTGACATTAGACATAAATCATCTGCGAAATCCAGATCTTCTAGGGTTAGGATGCTCGCCGACCATGCACATGGTCCGGGGTTCGATCCCCGACCGACGCACTCCCAAACCTCGCTAAGCCAGTAATAAGACTGGTAGAGAGGGAAGGTTGGGCATGAGGCTAGCAACCCCATCCTGTAAAAATAAACACTGCTACAGAAACTTCAAGCCTGTAGCTTGAAGCCCTATGTTCCACTGGGAACGTGAAGGATAAAAAGTCTTCTTATCGGTGGTCCAGCGTATTCCTGTATTCTCGCTCCTCACGCACGATGTTCCGCATTACCCAGTCCACCACAATAAGGAATATCATCGGTGATTATAGGAAGGCAGACTTGTCTTACTCCTGTATTCAATTCGAACGCTTCGCTGAGTTTTCCGTTGTGGTTCACCTGACACGTGGCATTGTTGTATACCCAGCTGTTGAATGAGGTTGATAAACACTTGGGCACTGCACGCCGTAGTGCTGAAGTAGTTTCCAAATTACTTCTCCGTCGACTCTATCTGTCGAATGTCTTTTCGAAGTTGAGGTAGACGGAGATTTGACTGACATTCTATGCTTTGTTCTGGGATGACAATGGCGTCCTTACTGAATCTAGCTTGTCCCCGGTGGGGGGGAGCGAAGTTCTGCATCATGTGCATCTTTTATTCTCCTTTTTAGACAAAGTTTATTTGACTTATAATAAGATACATTCAATCTGACTGGTTAAATGCTTGAATAGCACAATGATAAGGTAATTTCATCGTCTTTCATAAGGTTCTCATCAGATGAGTACATCCTGAATAATAAACTATGTAAGCAATCACCGCGACATACTATTTGACACACTTTAAACGAATGGTCAGTCAATTTCCGAAGGATGAAATAAAGAAAGACATAAAAAAGAACACGATGTCCAAACTACACAGGAAGTTAGAAGAATAAAAATGGTGATCAAAGCACGAATATCCTTATGTTGTAGGGAGTGGAATATTTTGAAATCGGATAGTGAATTTAAGCATAAGTAGAGATAGTTACGCGATTATAGGAAAGAAGTTATCCAAGAACAGCGAGAGAGAGAGAAGTAAGTGTTGAGAATGACATTTATGAAAGCAGTAATTAATACGGAAGTGGATGGATGTAAACATCAAGCTGGGATATAGAAAAAGGAAATTATTCGAATAGATAAAATTAAAGAATCAGTGGTTACCAGGGTAATAATAAGTAATAGTTTACCTCAACCTACTTCTCTATATGAATTACTGTTTTTATTTCCTACCAATAACTTCTCTCTCACTTGGCTTGAATAACTTTCCTCATAATTGCGTAACTATTTCCACTTATGCCTGAATTTCAGTACATTCCACTCCCTACAATATAAGCATAATCATGCTTTGATCACCCATTTTATTCTTCCAAATTCCTATATAGTTTGATGTTTTATTCTACTCTTCCGAAATTGATGCACTATTCATTTAAATCTGGTTATTTAAGAAATAATGAAGATGTCCTGATGGTTGTATTTATAATCTCCCTGACTCGTGTGATGATAACTTCCAGCTCCTACATGCTCCAATTGTCATTTCATATGGATTAGCTCGCCATCATTCCGGTTCCTAGCCGCGTATGGATTCAAAATTACCTGTTGCTGTAACAATACTTCTTTGTGTGTTTAACCCGACACTTACTGCTGCGGTGGTGAGTCACTGGCAGTTAATATTGCTAAAAGCATTATTATCGGTGAAGTAACTAACGTTTTACAAAACAATTCCATCACTTTATGAATAACCTACCATACCTATCCCCAGTAACGCAACTAACAATTATGACGCGCATTTTGGTTAAATTTCTTCAATGGAGATGCTTTGTATTATACTGAGCCCATCGCTTTTGCCTGTGAAGTCACACTATAGGTATTATTCTATTACCTTTTCCTATGTATATTTACGAATAACCGTGAATATGCTTACTCCTTGTATATGTAATTTATCATATTGATGATGCCTGTAAACTGGCGTCCCTCATGTACAATAAACTGAGAATATATTATTATTATCATTAAAAAATATATCACAGTGATTGCTTATGTATTTTATGATACATAGTGTACTTAGCTGGTGAAGACTCTATGACAGAAAATAAATTCACGTTATCATGTAAAAGCTGTACTGAGTCCATAATTTTTAATTTTATTTTTTAAAATTTTGATTACAGCTTGATGCCACACCGTATTTTCAGTACAAGTATGGAATTTTCAGCATGGATATCGGTAGCCCAAATTTTGCAGGCCGACCATAGATATCGGGTGTGCGCCGGCAGGGGATCGAACCCCGGACCATGTGCATGGTCGGTGAGAGTCCTAACCACTGTGCCACCGACGCAGGGTTAGTAAACAAAATCTAAAGGCGTTTAGGAAAGGGCTACTTTTTTCAATGATATCGTTCTCAAGGTAGGGTGTACAAACGCCTTTATATATGTAGCAAATTAGCTTACCAATAAAAGGAATGTTTCATTAGAATTGTAAATTCAGATAACAATTACATAATACCGAAGGCGTCAATTGGGTAGAAACTAAAACAAAAGTAAGCGAATTGCCTGACGTAATGTAATTTTTGGGATTGAGCAGAAGTCACCAAAAAACTGAAAGAGAGTCAACTTAAGATTGATGCCATAAGGAGAAGGAAAATGTTATAGTAGAGGGAAGGGGAGAGACATATAATTTAAAATACTAAACTTACGGAATCCTTTGAAGTGAGGACAGGAGTAAGACAAGGCTGCCTACTATCACCAATGATTTTCCTGATTGCAGTAGACTGGATAATGCGACAAACAGTGGGCAATGAGGAAACAGGCATAAAATGGACTCACACAGAAAACTTGGAGGATCTGGACTTCGCCGATGATATATGTCTGATTTCCCACAAACTGGAAGATATGCAAGCGAAAAGCAACAAGTTGGCAGAAGAAGCATCAAAGATAGGACTCCAGGTGAACATAGAGAAAACGGAGGTGATGAAGATTCCTGGCCAACAGCAACAACAACAGACAACAATCAGCATAAATGGGAGGAACCTGAAAGAAACAACCTCCTTTACCTACCTGGGAAGCATCGTTTCAACTACAGGCGGAACTGACGAGGATATCAAAGCAAGAATCGGGAAAGCAAGACAAGCTTTCACTACTCTCAAGTCTGTGTGGAGGTCAACATCACTCAGCATGAAAAATAAGATCCGGATTTTCAACTCCAATGTGAAGTCAGTGCTACTATACGGATCAGAGACTTGCACTGCGCGTCATAAAGAGCATCTCAAACAAACTACAGACCTTCATTAACAGTTGTCTTCGCTCAATACTCAAGATCAGATGGCCGGCCAGAAAAGATCAGCAACAGGGATCTCTGGCAATGAGCGAACCAACCAGGAACCGATTGTGAAACAAATAGGCAGGAAGAAATGGAGATGGATTGGCTATACTCTGAGGAAACCATCAAGTGACATCACTAGACAAGCCATTGCTCGAGTGGAACCCGAAAGGGAAGCGGCGAGTTGGTCGTCAGTGCAAGGGTGACTTGGAGGAGGTCATGTGAAGAGGAGATGAAAGCGTGTGGGCAGACATGGAGCCAGGTGAAGACTCTAGCAGAGAACCGAACGCAATGGAGATGCACGGCTGAAGCCCTGTGTTCCTCTAGGAATTAAAGGAAATAATAATAATAATGACATCAATCTTAAGTTACATTACGTTACGCAATTTGCTCACTTTTATTTTGGTTTCAACCCAATTAACTCCAATTGTTATCTAAATTTACAATTCTAATGAAACATTCCTTTTATTGTTAAGAAAATTTACTTCATATGAATGCATTTTGTACACCTTGAGAATGATGTCACTGAAACGAGTAACTCTTCGCTGAACTCCTCTTTTTTCTAAATATAACTCAATGAGGATTTATAAGTTGCTTAAGCAAAAACTAACAAAACAAGGAGATCTTTCAACTTTTCTGCATCAAAATATCTGGTGTGCTGTCTTTTCCTACACTCACTTGTATAACTCTTATTATTATTGTTCTGTTTGATTACAACATTTACACGATCATACAAATCATAGTGGATCGATAAAAGAAACCATTTTTAAATATTTATTTTCATAATTATATATATATATATATATATTCACCTTATAGTTATCAGTATAATGTATGTCTGTAGTTATCAGGAAATCAAGGCAACCAAGTAAACAAAAGACAGAAAGAGGGAGAGAGAGAGGAGAGAAAGGGAGATGGACAGGAAGAAAATTGATGTGAATAAGAGAACCCACATGGAAAAAACAAAACTAGATATCCTGATAACAAAAAAGGCAAGCAAATAATGATAATGATAGAAAAGTGTAACAAAAAAAATGAATTCTTCTAATAGACAGATATTATTCAATAATGATAAAAAATATTACACAATGGAAAAAGCCAAGAAAGAAAGAAAAAGAAAGAAAGGAGGGAAGGAACGAAAGGAAGAGATAGAGTATTCCTCTAAGTAAGAAAAGAAATGCAGAAAATAATTTTCGTCATCATATCATCATCATCACCATCATATGTCTACTGGTCTTCATTGTCTGTGTGTGAACAAGAGGCGAAGGAACAAGATAAGCAAAGTGGGATAAAACGAAATGCAATTATTTTTCTGAAAGGTATATATATATGTATATATATAGCTACCATATTATTAGTAGTATTGCACGACCAGATACAGAAAGAATAGTAGAGTGAATATATATATCGACAAAAGAAAAGTGTAAGAGTAGGAAGAACATACTTCTAAAAATACATAGCACACCAACAGTGTTTGCACCTAATAACAATAATAATAATTATTATCATCAAATACACATTAATCAGGTACAAACACCAACAAACATAGTAATAATAATAATAATAAGTGATATCAGCGCTCATTACCATTTTTTTTCACAAACAAAATTCACAGATGGATACGCCACTGATAATGTAACATTATTTTAACTCAATAGTGATGATGATTATAATAACAATAATGATAATGATAATAATGAGTAGGTGTATATGTGTGTAATTTATGTATATGAAATGCATGAAGAGTTTGGCAAAATACAGTCGTTGAAAATCGAATCAATAGGCAAGAGAGTAAGAAACGTTTAGAGATACATATAAAGGAATGGGCTAATATTGCCAATGAAAAGAAATGTGTGTACAATAGCCATCAACACAATCAATGAAGGCGTTGAATCAAACGGCAAAGAAGAAGACAAATATGGGTTTTATTATTACGAATGAGCTATATATATATATATATATATATGTATATATCGAAGTTAAGTGGAGTTTTCATTTAGACAAAAAAAGGTGAAAAATCCATAATAGATGTTGTATCATCCAAGCTAGTTAGTGGTGGTACAACAATTACCTCAAAGTAAACAAAGAATTAACAGCCCCAAGATTAATGATAATAATAATAATACACTGACAAAGAAAACAGCACACTAAAGCACACAAACAGGAGAGCTGTCTCCTTTTCCATTATTCAATATACATAACTTAATGACAGATTACACACAAGCAAAGACAAAAAATAATACTAATAATAATAACTGTATAGCTCGGTTAGTGTTCAACGTACTTCATTTTTAACGTTAGTACACTTCATTGAATTTTGACAAACTACAAGAGGAAAAGCGATAAAAAGAATCCAATGTGATAACTTTATCTACAACCGTACAGATACATAGACAAACAGATGTTGAAGTAAACACAAAACGAAAGTCGTCAAAGTCAACATAAGAGTGGAAAAGGATCAACATGAAGAAAGATAGACTGACAGCAAGAGGAAGGAGATTTTCTGTAACGTTAACTAATACAGGAACATATCAGGAATACAGATAATTAATGTGTTGATAGGGTTTTGTATGAGCGTTATTAATCACTGTCAGTACGTGAGGTCAAATAATGAACAAAAAAGAGAGGAAATTCATCAGACAAACGTACACACACACACACAAACACACTGTGATTTAAGTACACGCATTTAAGTAAGGTATATGGTGTCCTACTTAAAAACAAACAAACAAAAAAGAAATCATAAAAAGAACTATGAGTAATTTATTTTTATTGAGAGATAAGACATAAGTCATAAAATTATTTAATAAATACTTTATTATTATTATTATTCAGAATTAGAGTGATGTTAATGAAAGGCTTTTTGGAATTGTGTATGCACATTGTTGAAAAGAGGAAAATCAAAGAGAATATATATATCATTGACAAACCATAGTATCTGATGTTGAATTCAATGTATCCTTTGATTGTGGAGAAACAACAGGTAAAGATGTCTGTAAAAAATGGGACAAGAACAAAAAAAAAGGAAAGTCATTAAAATCAAGATACAGTTAAATAAGTTAGTCAAAAACAAACAAATGATTTAATTCGAATAGATTATCTAATTTTTTTGTGAGTGCTGCTCTAGGAGTTCACTTCACTGGTGTTAATGTATTATAGCCTTCTAAAATTGTTTACTGAATAAGTAGTAAGGACTTATGTCTATGATGTAATGGACAAGTAAGGATATGACTTCAAAGGTGAATACACATCAAGGTAATATGAAGTCTAGTTAGCAAATATCATGCACATTGACCACAGTCTATTAGACTCTGAATAAAAGACTCATTGGTAACGTCAGTCCATATGGATTGACAGACTGACTGAATTTTTGACTCGGAATTCTTCAGAAAAGTGTACCAAGTCACACTGACATACTTAATAAAATAAACGAATGTAGAGAAAAACTCGAAGGAACTGTTCTAAACGGATATGTACGGGAGAAAGGATAAGCATATAGAGAACAACGAGAATCTGATGGATCTAGGACTTCATAAAGGATGAATGCATCTGAGTCTATGGGAACGACTTTCGACTATGTTAGCAACAGTCTGCAGCCATTAGCTCTTAGCGTCTCTAGGACGCCTTTGAAGAAGTAGCTAAAGAATGTTCTGACACACAGTATGCATTGAATCTTGATGACGACTTAAATCTAAGCAAAAATCTTACTGATTAATTTGAACGAGGATACAATTTATGTCTACAGCTTCGCATAAATATTTAACGGTGAAACAAGTTTCGAACTGCCTTTCAAGCACACGAACTAATGAGTTTCAAATTATTTTACAGACTCAAAATAATAATAATAATAATTTAAAGCTCTTAAAACTTTGATATTCGATCTGAATACTAACACAACTACATATAAATATAAAAATATTGATATTCCATCTATCATCTACTTGAGATTTTGTTTACAATACAAATAATAGAACTCATCAGCTGAATACTCTACAAACATTGTTATTTATACGACGTTTTGAAGTTAACATACATACAAACACAAGAGCATTGTTACAACTAATAAGTATCAGTCCCAACGAATATATGATGGTATCCGAAGGAGCTTAGTCACACCGCATTTGTTCATGCAGTGACATTGAGTAAAGGCATAATAGTAATCAATAGGCAAAGGTGATAGAAAAGCGTTTTGTTTTGCCGAAGCTTGGACAATCAGATTAAAGTAGCTGGATATATGTATACAAAAGGAGACAGTAGTTAGCCTACATCTACCGTGGAAGCATACTTTCATTTTACCGTCATAATTTTCCTGCCCTTCCCTCCTTTCTTTACAATGACTTTTTCTGCTATTATAATTATCCATCTGGCATATTGAGCATATTTGCAAGTCAAAAATCATAGTTGACTAATAGTCTTGATGAGGAGTATTTAAACTATCTTTTTGAGTTTGGTTCAAACACGTTGAAATCTTACTATCTAGTCCTATATTGTTTACGTAGGTTAAATAATTTTCTAAGTTTCCTTGTATTTCAGTATTATCAAATCTAGATGTTTATAATTGTATTAATTCTACGATGATAACTCTTTTTTATATGCACATGGTCCGGGGTTCGATCCCCGGCCACAGACGCACTCCTTTACCTCGCTAAGCCAGAAATAATGCTGGTAAAGAGGAAAGGTTGGGCGTGAGGATAGCAACCCCGTCTTGTAAAAATAAACACTGCTACAGAAACTTCAAGCCACTAGCTTAAAGCCCTATGTTCCACTGGGGAACGTGAAGAAAAAAAAGAATGTTATTCACTTCCTAATGACACTAACATATTTCAACTCATCACTCATAGATTAGATACATACTTCGAAATTGATACTTATTTGTTGTAACAATGTTCCTGTGTTTATATGAGTGTGAACCTTATAAAAAGTTGTATAAATAACAGTGTTTGTAGAGTTAGTATGCAGATGACGAGTCGCACTGAAATTAACGAATTCATTACATACTGTTTTTTTTTCACAGTTGTTGCTTGTTTTAATTTCACTGCGAGAAAGAAATGTTTACACATCATAGACACCAAAATAAGAATCAGTGAAAAAAGATGTGCAAAAATTATTAAAATAAAAAATGATAAAAATCTCTGAAGAGATGATTGCGTGAAGACTTTCAAGTGGGTATTCACCTTGTTTTTGTCTTGTATTTTATTTTGACTGTTAATGTTGATGACGCAAGAAAGTAAGTAGTCATCAGCAATACTGCTCATTATATTTTATAGTTCTTAGTCAACAGTTTTACAAAGACTAGGAAGGGCTATTCGACTGCTATCTGATGGCAAAATGTAACAATTCTTATCGTACCATCGGCACTGTCCTAAAATGTGATGACAAAGTATATGTATATATTCTCATATTTGGAATAGAACTCGTTTATGAGCAATTGATTTAACTCCTCAAAAATGAAGTTTGCTTAATCCCCAAAACACCGATTGTTGCTCTCAAGTATCCCGCACAGAACACTGGAGTATTTAAAACACCACAATTTCTTCAGAATGCTTCAGCTTTCTAGTGTTCTGAAGCAGATCAGCAGTTTGATATACATCAGAGAACTTTTGATGTGACACATACCAAACCTAAAATTCACTGATTGTGTGAACTGTTGGATATACCACATTTATGGACGATTGTAGTTGTGCTTCTATATCTTAATGATAAAATAATATTACTATGTCATACCTTTTCAACAGCGTAGTTAGCTGCTTAATCAGAATTTCTAACAGATTGTTGATTGCTGACGTAAATCAGTTAGGTAAAAAACACTGCTTTAGAGACCTAAGAAGATTTACATCAATTGTGACATAGTTTAGCCAAAAAACTATGCCTTCAACTTGTCATATAATTATTAGTTTTACAAATGAATTCTAGATACAGCTATCAACTTACTAATTTACTTCAGTCCTCTACATCACCAGTTTTCTCATGTACACAAACTATGCGTAAGTGACACTTCTGTCCGTAAATGTGGCAAACTTAGTTGTATCATTGTGTGAAACAGTCATGATATATATTTTACAGCACTGAAGAGTGTAGACGTCAGTTATTAAATGTGTTTATTTCGAGATATGAAGTTATGCATTCACTAGTCGGTCTGTTCGAAGATGTGTGTCAGTTTAAATTCTACAGTGAATTAATCCACATCTTATCCATTTATCTGGTTTTAGAAAATCGATGGGCTGTTTTGGGTTAGCATCAATTACAATTTTCTTCGCTTTAGAAACATGTCCTTCCCTATTTTTTGCTAATATTATGTACTAACTTGAAACTGAAAAGTATCATATCAACATATTCTTTGCTTTAGTCATTGAATAATATATAATTTAACAAATGGAAAGTTGTTGTTTTTCATCGACTAATTATAAGTTATTAATTCTAATTTCGATCAACGCACAGCTTTACTGATACTAAACCTCCTAATTTTATCTCATTTTAATTTTGTAATAATCATTATTTCTCCTTGCACGGAAGAAAGTTGGAACTCTATGAAGGCATTGTTCAAGAAAACGCGCACAACCGTTTTAGGAAGAAAGAAGAGGCAAGACAAGGAATGGCTCTTAACGGATACCTACCTGGAAGCTAATAGAAGAGAGGAGAATGGTGAAAGAAAAGATGACTCAATGCAAAGATACACAACAGAAGGAGAAGATGAGTTCAATGTACACTGCACTGAATAAAGAAGTGAAGAAGAGTGCTGAGAAAGGCAAAAGATAATTGCACGACACACTAGCCGGCAGCTGAAGCAGAACAGACAGGCAGGCCACAGGTAAGAGAGACCCCAAGACATTATATCAGATAACCAGGTCTTTATCTGGGAATAGATCAACCCAGATGATGAAACCCATAAAGATGCTCAAGGGAATCTGAATATCAAGGAGGAAAAACAGATCAAACAATGGGCTGATTACTTTAAAGGACCCTTAAATCAACCATCATCTGGAACTCGTCCACAGATACCAATAAAAACAACAGCGTGCACACAACTGCCTGCCAGTGGACGCCGATCCTCCGACGGAAGCCGAAATCTTGAATGCGATCAAGCTAATGAAGTCCAGTCGGGAAGGCCGTAAGACCAGAAGGAATTCCACGCCTCCCGTGTGCACAGAAGACGGAACCAGAGACTGCGGTAGATATCCTCACACCATTATTGCCAAAGGTTTGGAAAGAAGGAAAGGTGCCTACTGATTGGAAGAAAGGCTGGCTACCTTGTCAAGCTACCAAAGAAGGACGACTTAGGCTTGTGCAAGAACTGCCGTGGAATAATGCCAAGTAAAATACTAGGTCATGTCATCCTGAAGAGAATAAGAGATGGACTGGATGCACAACTCCACCCCTGCCACTCGAAACAAGCTAGATTCAAGGAAGGCAAATCATATGCTGATCAAATTGCTACTCTACGCATCGTCAACACAGAACAAAGCATAGAATGGCAGTCAAACCTCCGTCTGCCTCAACTTCATTGAGGCTTCGAAGTGGTCTTCGATAGACAGCGTTGACCGAGAAATAATTTGGAAACTATTTCAACACTAAGGCGTGCAGCTCCCAAATCTTAAGCAACCTCATTCAACCACGGCTATATCAAAATGCCGCGTATCAAGTGACCCACAACGGGAAACTCAGCGAGGCGTGCGAAGTGAATACAGGAGTAAGACATGTCTGCCTGCCTATTATCACCGATGATATTCTTAACTGTGTTGGACTCGATTATGTTTGAGACTGCATGTGGGGAGCAAGGAAACGGGAATACGCTGGACCACCGATAAGAAGACTCTAGAAGATCTGGATTTCGCAGATGATTTTTGTCTAATGTCACACAAACTCGAAGATTTACAGGCGAAAACCAAAAAAGCCGCTGAATAGGCAGGCAGCGAAGATAGGACTCCAGGTGCACATAGGGAAGAGGAGGTGATGAAGATAACCAACTAACAGCTACAACAAACAGCACCAATCACTATCTACAGGAGAAATCTGAAAGAGATTACTTCCTTCACTTGTCTAAGAGGCATCGTTTCAAAGACCAGTGGGACGAATGATGATATGAAAGCCAGAATCGAGAAGGCAAGACAGAAATCGGTTTGGAAATCTTCTGCTTCACTCAGCCAGCATAAAGAACAAGATTCGGATTTTCAACACAAATGTGAAGTCAGTCAGTTCTTCTATATGGGTCAGAAACTTGCACTGCGCGTCACGAAAAGCATTTCCAACAGGTTACAGAATTTTATCAACAGCTGCCACCTTCGCCGGCTGCATACTGAAGATGAAATGGTCAGCTTGCTAGAAAGAATTAGCACCAAGAAACTGTGGGAACAAACTAACCAAGAACTTTTCGTTCAACAAATATGTATGAGAAAATGGAGATGGATAGGGCATACGCTGAGGAGACCGCCGAAAGACATCGCGTGCCATACCATCACTCGAGTGGAATCGGAATGGGAAAATAGTGTGTTGTCCGAGAGTGACGTAGAGGAGGTCGTGCGAGGAGAAGATGAAAGATTATGGACAATCATGAGACCAGATAAAGATGACAACAGAAAATAGAACAAAGTGGAGATATGTTGTTGAAGCCCTATGTTCCACTCGGAACCCAAGAGAACAATAATATATATATATATATATATGTATAGACATACCTTAATATTTTTCTGAGAACTAATCTCATCAGGATTAGTAAACTTTGAAGAGGAAACTGATTCATCTTCACTGGACCGGGACTGTAGAGGTTGATTGATTTGATTTTGATTAAAGTGTAAATCAGAAGTATTTTGTCCTGAATTCTGTTCATCTAAGCTATGATTATGTCCTTTTGTAGAGGTTAATGATGCAGAGGATGAAGTAAGTGAGCTTACAGTTGTTGTTGTAACAATATTAGATGTTGGAGATACACTAGTAATTGATGTTGTTCCTCCAACTGAACTTAATGTACTGTGAGCAACAAAGCTTGGATTTGCAGCACCGGACAAAAGCGCTGTTTGAAGTTGATCACAAAGACGTTTAAACCGACGCGTTGGTCCTGGTAAATAATAATAATAATAATTTCAAAAACAATTGTTTAGGATAAATAGATTAATTAATATTTACATCAAAATAATGAAATATAGCATATAAGCATTGGATAATAAGAAACACACAACTATATTCGCTCTTTTTCTACTAAAAGGAACGTTATTTCCAGACAGCTAAAATCCAACATATGCATATGGTCGAGAATTATTACGTAGTCCGGCCTCTTGATTTCAGAAATTGGCCCACGATTGCAAATATTCTTGATCTGTCTAGCGTTTTTCACTTCAACAGAACAAATATCATAACTAAAAATTAAAATATTAAACAATAAATTGACCCTAAGTACTTTAAATATATAATCGCCTAATTGAATGGAAGAAAAGTCATATTTACCATAAAAATGAATGGTAAAAACATATTTTTTAAGATGACACGCCTAAGAATGAATACAATAATTAGTGCATCAACCAGTCATCACATACCAACACTGAAAAAGATTACAATATGCTTTTAGGATTGACTAACTGGACTTTCAGTGTAGAAGTTTGCAGGAACGTGCAGCAGTTCAAGTTGACATACTTTACAAAAGTACACATAAAGGTAGAAAAAATAAGAGAAAAGAAACAATGACGATGGGAACTGTACGAGAGGAAAGTTAACTACATAGAGAACAATTAGAATTTAATGGATTAAAGAGATCACAAAGAATGAATATACATTTTATTTTTATTTTTTTATTTTTATTTACAGCTTGATTCCACACCGTATTTTCAGTACAAGTGTGGAATTTTCAGCATGGATATCGGTAGCCCAAATTCAGGCCGACCACAGATATCGGGTGTGCGCCGGCAGGGGATCGAACCCCGGACTATGTGCATGGTCGGCGAGAGTCCTAACCACTGTGCCACCGAAGCACATATAGGCTATTGGGAACGATTTTGAACCATATCAACATCACATCCTCCAGCAATTGAATTTCAGTATCTTGCTGACTCCAGTCAGGCATTCCGTATCACCTACCCTATGTGGATCAGACCAATAGTCAGAGACTTCGTGGATTGATGAGAAGTTTTTGTTTGATCAGACAACATTGTTTGTCGAGGAAGGACACTATGTGAAACACATGTCCGAGCCATTTCGATAGATGGAACTTCACAATCTCACTGATTGATTTTCCCGCCGCCTTACCTAACAATCTACACATAACTTCATTATTAATGGAAGTATTATTTCACCTAACTCGAGAAATAGAATGCAGAAACCTATGGTTTAATGCTGCTATGTTATTTATATCTTCTAATTTCAACAACCATGTTTCACAACCGTTAAGAAGGACAGAGCAAACTGCTATGCAGTAAACACGTTCTGTTTTATCTTGACTGATGGTTGAAAGCTATACGGCAGATTACAATGACAACTAGAATGGCTCTTCTTTATCTTCAAAAAATAATATCATCGCTATGTTTAAGGCACTGGACATTTGAATCATTATAAAAAAAATGGAACACGTAAAAAGCAGTTGTTGAATACATCCTACCAACTGAAAATGAAAGGCAAAACTGATTGCTCAAAGGAAAGAGTTCACATGCAACAATATAACATGATTCCTTTGTACCATGAACAAACTGTTAAATTGTATATAATCAAACCTTCTCACCTGATAATAACTGGAAATTCACTGCATACACTTCTCGTTCAGATGAGATTGAGTTGATATTGTTCTGATGTCCAGAACCTGTACTGATCCCTCCAGTTGCACGAACCATATCAACTTGTAGTTTAACTGGTCGAGCAAGTAAACTTGATCCACTACCCGCACGACGATATTCAGCTCGAAAACTAGTTGGCGAAATTACTGTATGAACAACACCAGGTGTGGCTAAGAAGACCTGACGACAATTGAGAAATAATAAAAATGATAATGAGGGAGATAAAATATGCCATCTACTATTAAATAATATGTTGACAAGGCCTATATTTGTGAAAATTTGGGGTTCTCAACAGAAATAGTTTCAAACCAGGTTATTCATTCAAATTTCAAACTGAAATCACAGGCAAGTGACTCATCCATATTACAGTAAATAACTTTTGGTGTTATTGAGTTTTCTGAGCTAGGCATTTTAATTCAGAAGCTTTCATTGCCTTCTTAGACACTGTTGTGATTAAGACTGCGTTACAACAACGTGACCAAAGAAGAGACTAAATATTTAATAAAAATATCAAACAGATTAAGAATGTGTGTAGTGAAATCCTGTAACCAATCAATCAAATCCCTACAAACCAATACTTGAATATCGATGAGATGCACACTGGCAACTGGACCTATTCAGGTAGGTAGTTACCTGGAGTTCTAGTGGAAGTCGTGACCAGTAGGGTGCAGCAGGTCGGGTGTGAGGACAAATACTCGCCGAAGACATTGGCTAGCGGTCACGCTATGTCGTGAATTGGCAGAAGTTGGAATTCATGGGGTGGCAATTGGATTGGGTCCCAGTGGCTGGATGGTCTACGAGCTCGCCTTGTAACCAGAAGGTTCTGGGTTCGAACCCTAGCAGTGTGTGCGTACTGATGAAGTGTCCCAAAGTAAGACGAAACAGCTGTCCAGCACTCCCGGGTTTTCCAATGGTTCTCTAACCAATTTCAGCTCATGATGAAATCCTGTAACCAATGAATCAAATCCTTACAAACCAATACTTAAATATAACTTTATTGGCATTGCAAAACGAAGGAACGATATCACACAAGATAATAGAACAGTTAATAATTATGAAGACAGAAGGAAGGGAGAAAACATCAAGGCGAATGAAAATAGTGCATCTCTTTTATTATCTGTGTACAGAGCTCTATAAGTGACTCATTGACATTTCGATACATCCTCTGTACAAAATCAAGGTAAAACACAGAATATTATAAACTAACTGATTTCATTTTGTTGACAGTCATAAATCATAAACCTGATACAGATTCAACTATCGAAATATAATTTATTATACTTACTCTCTCATCTTTATAACAAAGCAAGGAAATGCTATGGAATGCGTTTAAAGTAGCATATTGTATGCAATAATATGCTTGAATTTAAGATACTAGGCAGTGTAGTGACACATTTCTTAGAAGATGAACTGTCAGAATTTCATCTCTATTATCAAACATTCTGACAGAGGTTATGTTGTATCATAATGAAAGGACTTCACCCCGAATGCAAAGTTATAATATCAAAAGAGCACAAAGCTTTACTTTTTAAATTCGGAATACGATCTATTCTTGAAATAGATTTTGAATAAAAAGCTGATACCATTCTATAGTAAAAAGTATTTCTCCAATTAGATTAACAAGCGAAGTTGTAGTATAACAGCCACCCCGTTATATGACTTTCGGCTACCAATTGAAGTTACAAATGACATAACCAAATCAAATCATACCTCTTCTTCTGGATTTCCTTAAATGACTCCCAGAAAGATCGACTATGTTGATTACTGTGTGAGTGATACACAGCGGTCGAGTGTTCGCCGACGACGCCGGTGGTCCGCGGATCGATTCCCGGCCGACTCCTTTACCTCGCTAAACTAGTAGTAAGACTGGTAAAGAGGGAAGGTTGGGCATGAGGATAGCAATCCAATCCCGTAAAAACAAACACCACTGCTAACGAAACTTCAAGCCTGTAGCTTGAAGCCCTATGTTCCACTGGGAACGTAAAGGAATACAAAAATACCTAAGACATGTATATGTGGGGGAAGCTTGACACATCAACTGGTCTTTTATGAGGAGTGAAGTTTTGGGGTAGGTGAAACAACAGAATCACATGTACAACAGACTTAACAACGTCATGATCTATATTGATTTTTTCTATTGTTCCTAGTTGTTCACAGTCACTAGTAAGGTTGATCACGTTGGAATTTTATCAGTACATTAAATATGTACAATAGGCAACCACGAAACATCGAATATCATTTCTAATTGAAACATTTTGTGTGAGTTTTGTTTTTTTGGATAAATATTTATGATCTCGTTAGCAGAAAAAGAAAACAACAACATTTCCAACATAAAGGAAGTAGTGTATTAGGAAGATAAGGGAAATGTTCATATAATTACAATTAGATGAAATGCTATAAAAGTATTGACGTAAAGCAGCACTTATAAGCATGGACAGGAAACACTAACAGCACAAGGAATATAAACGTTGGTATAGAAAAACAAGACAGATCAAATGTCACTCAAAACTTATCGAACAGAAAATCACTTATTAATAGGCTGAAAATAACGTGTACCTTTTGTAAGAAAAGACAAAAAAAACATACAAAATGCCAAAGACACAGAGGTTAGAGAGTTATACAAAATGAAAGCGGATATTCGTCTGTAAGATTATAATCCACTCCCTATAATTCTAAATTTTATGATAATGCCTTAATACGAGAATAATACAAGGTTAAAACAAATGGACGTTATTAGAACTTAGTCTAATGCAAAATATAAAGTTGTGGAGAATAGCTTTCTAAAAATAATGTTTACTCCAGAGGGAATTATTATTATTATTATTGTCATTATTTTATGCGTTTATTTTTATGAATATGTGAACAAGAAAATAATCCGTAAATAATAGTATTTCGTTGTATAAAACATCCAATAAAACGAAATAAAATGCCAGAGATAGATTATAAGCCATTTCTCTTACATATACAGAAGCCATGTAAGAAAGATATCCTACATAGTGTTGACATCCAAAATGTTTCTGATCATCACACAAGTGTCACAGAATCTATAATATTGTATTCAAAAACCGGACAAAATTCAATGATATTTTTTCCGCTTTACATTCCCCGTGGAACTGTGGTGTTTATTTTTACAGGATAAGGTTGCTAGCCTCATGTCCAACCTTTTTTCTTTACCAGTATTACTATTGGCTTGGCAAGGTAAAGGAGTGCATCAGTCGGGGATCGATCCCCGGGCCACCGGCGTGGTCGGCAAGCACTCTACCGCTATGCCACCGATGCAACGGTCATGTGTAGAGCTAAATGTTTTAGCAGACTACTTGTTTTAATTTGAATTAAGTCCGTTCACGTCAGTATTTTTTTTCCTTCACGTTCCCCAATGGAACATAGGGCTTCAAACAGTGGCTCGAAGTTTCTGTAGCAGTGTTTATTTTACAGGATGGGGTTGTTAGCCTCATGCCCAACCTTTCCCCTTCACAAGCATTATTTCTGGCTTAGCGAGGTAAAGGAGTGTATCGGCTGGGGATCGAACCCCGGATCATGTGCATGGTCGGCGAGCGCCCTAACCGCTATGCCACCGACGCACAACGTCAGTATTGGGTTAACGTTATATGTATATATATATGCATATATATATATATATATATATATATATATATACAGTTTTTATACATAAAATATAGGGTGAAAATGAAGTTTCTAAGAAGAAACGAATTTTTCAATTGAAACAAAATATCTATTCAGACGGTAGTTTTTTACAGACTTGATGAGTATCACCGCAGTTCTCACTGCACACGGACATCAGTTAAAAGATTATGGAAAAACCATGAAGCATTACTTTTTCCAATTTCGGGAACTGAAATTTTAACGTAGAACTTTGCACAAAACTACAGCAATCGAAGTTGCTACATTTTGGGACTCTTCAACATTGTCACATTCATTAAATCGTAACCATTAGTTTACCAGCTGAGTATGTCTATCACTTAAGCACTTTAGACTTGTAACTTGAATGTCATGAGTCTGATCCCTGCTAAGGATATGGTTGCGAACTGTCGAAAAGTCGGTGTCGACAGCTTTTCAGTTATGAATCATTCTTTACCTGATGTCGGTTTGAAACAAAACCTAAGACTTTTTCTCAAAATCTAATACTGATATCAATAAACAGTAGTTCGTATGATGATTCGGAGTATTATTCCTATACTTAAGTAACTAGTTGACAGTGAAGATTGTGAAAACTTACGATAATTATAAAATGGCAACTTGATGGTGTTTCGAGTGAAAACAAACCAAGATTTCTCACCTACTACGACTGATGAGATGCTCAATAGTATAGAAACTTTGAATAATACTTTTGTAGAACGGTGATCACAACATAAATTCAGTTATTGTCAGAGTTCTTCAATGATACAAAAAAATACAGGTTAATAAAGTTAGTTGTGTAGATTTTGACAGCTTCACAGCTGAATTGTCTACTGAAAGCCACTTTTAAAATTTACAGTATACTGCAAGAAGTATAAGACATCTTCAAAAATTAGAATTAATTGTTAATACTGTGTCGTTATAATAAAGGTTTTTGTATTTCCCAATGAATGAAAAACAAAACGATATTGTTTTTACTGACGTTTCGCTGTTTAATGCTAATAGCTTTATCAAAGTAGCATTATTAAACCGGAATTTACAAAATCTCAGCATGTATATAACAAAGAGTTAAGGGGTGAGAAAATAGACTTAGGTCAAGTTATAAGGACATATTGGAAGTTAAAATACCAATGAAGATCACTAAACCAAATAACAAAGGTAATAGTACATCTGTTATGGTATCAAAATAAAGATTTTTTTTATTATTTTTGTTTACAGCTTGATTCCACACAGTACTTTTGGTAGAAGTATGGAATTTTCAGCATGGATATCGGTAGCCCAAATTTTACAGGCCAACCATAGATATCGGGTGTGCGTCGGCAGGTAATCGAACCCCGGACCATGTGCATGGCCGGCGGGAGTCCTAACCACTGTGCTACTAACTTGATCACCGTTCGTTAGTCTGAAATGGATTCTGGGAGATACACCGTTTATTTTCTTACTTAGGAAGCAGAGTCAGACATCGGTGAACTACCATTTCTAGACTGCCTAGTTAAGAGAAAGGAAAACGGACACTTTAGTATATCCATATTCAGGAAGAAAACCCACTCAAATAAATATTTAGACTTCAAATCATCACACCCCATCAGCGCAAAGATTTCAGCTGTTTCAAGTCTTCTTAGACGAGCACACTCTCTGATAACGGTTGAGAAAAAAAGAAGAAGAAATATCAAACATTACTGAAACTCTCAAGCAAAACAACTATCGATGGAACTTCATCAACAAAATCAACACAGATATTAAGTATGGCCGAAAACGCATTCCGAAAACATGGACCTCGACAATCGTCATTCCATATAAAGCAGAGACGTCAGATGATATCAGAAGAGTACTCAATCAGCTCGACATTAGAGTTTTCTATAAAACATCAGACACATTACGAAACAATCTTGTCCATATAAAAAACCAGATCTCTAAAGATTCTCTATCTAATTGTGTCTATAAAATAAAATGCTTGGAATGTGATGCGATATGCATCGGACAAACATCTCGAGAAATCAAAATCAGAAGAAATGAACACCGTAGAGCATCTGTTCGACCACCGAGAAATCCAGTTGAACTACAAAACTTGAAAAATCATCAGCCATAGGTCTACATGCTATAGAATCAGGTCACAAAATTGATTTTGACAATATTGAAATCATCATCCAGAAAAACTTCAGAAATCATAAAGAACGTCTAATATCAGAAGCACTTCATATCAAGTGGAATCCAAATTGCCTGAATAGGAATGATGGACTAAAACAGAATCTGACCTGGTTACAACACCTCCCTCCCCCATGAAGTGACAAAATCAACACGAATGTGATATGCAAGTTCACTATGTAAACACACACTGCCTTTATAATTTTAAACACTGATCAAATCCAACAATCTACACTTGATTTTGTTATCTTTACCAAATGACCAACTTGACAACGAAAAATGACCCCAGATTGACGAACGATGATCAAGTTAGTAAACTTTATTTTGATACCATAACAGATGTACTATTACCTTTGTTATTTGGTTTAGTGATCTTCATTGGTATTTTAACTTCCAATATGTCCTTTTAACTTGACCTAAGTCTATTTTCTCACCCCTTAACTCTTTGTTATATATATGCTGAGATTTTGTAAATTCCGGTTTAATAATCTACTTTGATAAAGCTATTAGCATTAAACAGCGAAACGTCAGTAAAAACAATATCGTTTTGTTTTTCATTCATTGGGAAATACAAAAACCTTTATTATAATGAATATCGTATACCCAATGCCCAAATTTTTTCAAACTGTTAAAAGTGAACTTGGTTTGGACGCATATAATACTGTGTCGCTTTCCAATACCACGTTATACGACACACGTATACTGATATAGTACTGCCTAGTTATGAAGTAAAGCATTTATGTAACAAAATACAATACTATTTGCCAGTCACATTTAAATTAGTCTAGAGAATTAATCAAGCAGGTAATTATTCAAATATATGCATACAGAAATGTAAAATCATGTGAAAACAGTTTTCCTGATAAAAATGTTACAAATAGCGATGGACAGACAATTATGCAGACACAGTTTTTCTCCCACACACGAATAGGCATAGAATTAGGGGAAAAAAAATAAGGTTACAAAACTAATGTGAAATTAACAATTTATCGTAAAAGTTTAAATGACTGATAGTTTAGACAAGCAAAAAATAACCTTAGGCACCATAAAATCTCTTACCTGTACAAGTTCTGCTTTAAGTCTGTTCAGAGCACGACCTTTCACCATCACTACATGGTTCGTCTCTTCTGGTGGTGCATTACCTCCACCTGATGTACCACTACTACTTGCATTATTATTAGTAGTAGCAGTAACAGTATTGGTGAGTGGAGATGTGAATGGTTTAAATCCTCGTCTTTCAATCGGTTTAGCAGTTGAACTAAAATCTGAAGAGTGTAATTGACTAGAAATGAACTGTGTATCAGTTGTAGCACCGATATGATGTGATTGGTGTTGTAATTGACTGTGATGTGGATAATGATGCGTATGATGATAGTGATGATGAGACTTTACTACACCATCTGAAACTGTTGAGTATGATGGTGAAGAAGGTTGAGAGGTTGAATATTGTGACTCTGAAACATTAGTATTAGTAGTCCTATTATTATTATTATTATTACTATTATTACTTCCATCAAATATTACACTTGAATTCTTCCAACTTTCTGTTAATTCACTACTAGTTGAAATCTGTTCAGACAATTTATCCGAATTAGCATCTTTTTCATGATGCAATTCACTTTGTTCATTTTCTTCCTTAATCTTTTCATTTTCTTCTTTACATTTTGATTGAATTGATATTGCCAATGCAGCTGAGTCTTGTGCAGCTGCGGCTGCATTCGCTGCATGTTGACTGCCTTTAGTAATTACATGACCAGATGCTGCTGTCAGAAAACCATTGAACCATGATTTATGCGTTAATCTAAAGTAAAAATTTGTATAAGTAAGAGAATATTTAAGCATATATGTTAATCAAATAGATCAGTTATAGACTCTTAGTTATGATATATATACACTTAATTAATGTAACAATTAAGAATTTTAAGGAAATTTTCTGATGCTCGCTAGTGACTTGCTACAGGATGGAGTTTCCTGGAGTTCTAGTGAGAAGTCATGACCAGTGAGGTCCAATTAGATGTCACGTGTGTGGATGAATGTCCCACTAACGACAATGGTTGGGGTCGCACTAAATCACGAATTGGTAGAAGTTAGAATTCATGAGCCATTGAATCGGGTCCCAATGGCTGAATGGTATACAACCTTGCCTTGTAACTGGAAGGTCCTGGGTTCGAACCCTGGCAGTGGGTGCGTACTGCCGAAGATTCCCAAAACTAGGATGAAACAGCAGCTGTCCAGTACTCCCTGGTTTTCAATGGTTCTCTAACTGATATCAATCCGTGATCAACTCGTAAAAACATAACTAACCCTTACAAACCAAACTATAGAAAATTTTCACTCCATTAAGAAATCCTTTCCATTCACTGTACATTTAAGTGTGGTGGAAGTTTACTGTGCGTTACAATAAATCCACGTGTTTTCATGTTATTGCCGAGATTTAAATGGGGAGAGGGGGAATAAACCAATTTGTATTAAAACTAAATATTTCTTTTAAATTCACTTGTCTAGTCTTAAAAAGATGTTAGTTAAGTAATAAAAGCATGCATTTCATTGACTTTCTAAGGTGCTAAATTTTTCCCTGACATGGTTCAAAATCGATAACCATAGCATGTATATATATATATATATCTATTGTGTGCCTTTCTCAAACAATCTAACATCTTATCTTAATCCTCAAATTCTTCTGGGAGTTATATTCTCATACTTGCTTTGTGTTATCTTCTTACTGTCGTTAATTGTGTCCACTTCAAGCGATTCACATTTATGTTACAATGTATATTGTCTATCTTTATTCTATCTTTGTCAGTTGGGAGTTACATTTAACTCAAAAGGTTTAAATTCATGACATTTAGAAATTATTAAAGTCAATTCATTTTGTCCAGTGCATCCAGCGCCAATCACCATCAACGGGAGGGATTTGAAAGAGGTTACTTCATTCACTTATCTAGGGAGCATTGTCTCAACTACAGGAGGAACGGACGAGGATGTCAAATCGAGAATCGGGAAGGCGAGAAACACATTCATCGACCTCAAATCAATCTGGAGATGTTCATCACTTAGCATCAACAACAAAATTCGGATTTTCAATACAAACGTCAAGTCAGTCAGTTCTTCTATACGGATCAGAAACTTGACGGCGGGTCACAAAGAATATTTCCAACAGCCTGTTGCAAACCTTTATCAACAACTGTCTTCGCTCTATACTCAAGATCAGATGGCCGGAAAGAATCACCAACAAGAAACTATGGGAACAAACGAAACAGGAACCAATCCCCCAACAAATATGCAGGGGAAAGTGGAGATGGATTGGACACTCGCTGAGGAGGCCACTGGGTGACATCGCACGTCAGGCCAGTGCTCGAGTCGAACCCGAAAGGGAAGCGGCGAGTGGGACTTCCAAGAGTGACATGGAGGAGATCGTGTGAAAAGGAGTTGAAACAGCATGGACTAACTTGGATGCAAGTGAAAAGTACAGCAGAAGAGAGACGTGCAGTTGAAGCCCTATGTTCCACTAGGAACCCAAGGGAACAATAAATAATAAATAATTCATTTTGTCCAGGACTGGCTATTGAAAGAGTTTGTTTACGAAAGTCAGTATTATTAGACAATTAAAGCACTGCAATCATAAGAGTTGTGATAAAGTAAGATAATAATTAATTTAATCACTTACAAGGGAGAAGGTTCTAAACCAGATGAACGTCCTGAGTTTCTCCATTGACTTTGTGAAAAAGAATTTGGACTACTTGGAGGAGTTTCACTCAACTGATCAGTTGTATGAATAAGTGATGATTTTTTCCTGTGAAATCTTGGTGAACCTAAAAATGACATTTTCAAGTTATTTAATTTTACACGCCATGGTTGATGCGCTGTTCCTGATGTAGGACTAGTTGGTGGAGCATTAGATAAGGCTGCATGAGATAAAATTGGACTGTTAGCAGTAGATGAAGAAGACGATGTCAATACAGGACTTCCACAGGTTAAAGTGTCCACAGTTTTCAAGCCATCTAAACGAGGTTTTCTAACTTCAGATCTAATACGAGAATTTTCTTGAGTAGAGTATTTAACAGTTTGTCCGTTTACATCTGATTGCAAATTTGTTGTACCATTATTACGCGTTTTCTCACGCAGTACATTGGCATTGTTAATTGACGGAGAACTCATTTTATCGCTAGGTATTGGTGACTGAGCTGGGGATTGTTGAAATTGTCCATCTTTCGAATTTTGATGAGTAACATTATGTCCTGATTGTGGTTGCAATGGAGGCGGTGATGAGTGAGCTATTGAGTTGTATTTCTTTCGAATTGACTGTACACCACCGACAGGAGATGACGGAGCTGTACTCGATGAATTATTCAAGTGCATATGATTTGTTGCAGTCGATAAGATGGAAGACTGCAAATCTTTATCATATTCTTTATGAGAGACTCTGATTAAATTTGAATTGCTGGAGCCATCGTTTGCAATAGAGTCTGAAGGCTATAATAGTACACGACAAAGAAATGTAGAAAATTTATTTATAGACTACTCTTGTAGTAGTTTTATTTACTTTCAGTCAAAACTTAACCACTTAAAGTAATCAAATACAATACAGTATAATAGCTTAGTTAAACGTTACAGTACTTCAAATGCATATACATTATAGAAAACTGCTTATTATTATTTTGGAAAATGTACACTCCTTGGACAGAACATTCAAGGAAAAAAATAATGATAGATAGCATATGATTTGATGCACTACTGCTCAGCCTGAAACACTCTGCAATGTTCTACAATGTTTAGCCTTCATTCTCTTCAAGAAATGCACAGTCATAGGTTGCAAGTCAGGTTACAATGCAGATGAGCATGGACTGTTATTCAAAGACTTAAGTGAATCAATAAAGTAACAGGAAATACATCAAATTCGATGTGTTATACAGAAAAGTAGCCCAATAATTTAAACAGGTGGCAAAAACATACACAAACATGTAACGACCGGAGATATGTGGTATACACTTGTGTAAAGGTAATTAAAACTATTCTTTAACAATATGAAACTCTGATGCATCAAATAACCTTGGTTTTCCACAATCCTCTATGACTGTTTTCAAAGATAGGTATTCAATGATACTTTTAACTAGCACTTTAACATACCCAAAAGTGATCAAATAAAACAACTTTTCAAAAAAGTAATTTAAATAGAAAATACTCACGCACTGGCAGACATAGCTACAAAGGACTACACTATATAAATATGCTAACTTCTGAATATGAAAGTATTTCGTATGCCATTATTGCTCGAAGTAATGATGAGTAATATTTTCAAAACACAATTGTCGGTGATGTAGGTGAGATAAATATTTATATATTATCGAGCATGGTCATTAAATCTATTCTAAATTTTTATTCTTACAGATTGAACCAGCTCGCTCAAAAACCTTCAGAACAACCATTACCTTGAAGACAGTCACAGGGTGAAAATTATGAGTCATTAAATCGGACCACAATGGTTGGCGATAACATCATTTAACAACTTAAAGTGAATTATTATTATTATTAAAGTAGTAAAAGATGAAAACATAAAGATAACAAGGAACCACACATTTCAGCTTTTCCCACCTCCAATGATGGAGGTTGTGAAGATTAAATTAGTACACTGTTTATTGATTATATCCAAAGCACAACATGAAAGATATATCAGGTAAGGGTGGGTACCGATTGACTATTCTGCACTTTGAGGGATCCCTCGAAATGTATTCAACAGATAAATGGACAATTTATCCCCTGTTTAAGACACTGAAATAGCTGGATTATAATAGTTACTCTCCTTAAATTCAATATGTCTGATGGTGCATCTTTATACAATGCGGTAGTTTTAAGTGTTGGTTTTGTGTCTAATACAACAGACGAATTCTCGTCAAACCATTCCTCTGTGTAAAATAAGTCACATAGTTTCAATAACAAACAATTGAGATTTTATTGACTATATTTTTATGGTCCAATTCAAACTCCTTTGACGTATTATAAGCGTTAAAATATACTCGCTATAAAGTATTCGATACATACATCAACATATGTGCGCAGCACATATGAGGGATTGATAGGAAGAGATAAAAATCTTCTAACAATTCTAAGTATCGGTAAGTAAGTAAGTCCGACCAAATGATTGAGGTTCAATGTAGAATTTTGCGGTAAAGTACACCAGTTCAAATTCACTCACGTTATAAAACAAACACACACAAATGTAGAGAAACCGAAATTCAGATAAACTGTAATGAACGGAGATGTACGGGGAAAGAACCATTAAATGGGCAGTAGTAATAACTTAATGGACCTTCGAGTCCACAAAGTGTGAATGCATCTGTGACACTGCGAATGATTTTGAGCCATTTTGGCAACACTCTCCACTCATTGGTTCTTAGTCATTCGGGACCCCAGTCAGCCGGTCCAGACCTCCCTGCATGACTCCAACTCACATTCAAAGACCCCGTGGATTGGTATAATTACCTGTATCTACTTTCCAGCCTAATCTTATGTCGGCTAACACTGCCTAATTTAAGTTCAACAAGCACGTTTATAGATAGAACAGTAATAAGTTTCAAACATGTTGTCAAAACCTTTACAAAAACAAGTTTAAATTTATTTTGAGATAAGGAATCATTTTGAAAAAGAAACTCGAAACTGTTTGAAGATACAGAGGAAATATGCGAAAGAATCAGACGCCTAAAGTAATCAATGCATTCATGTCATAAAAGTTGGTTTTAACTAACACAGGATAGGTCATTCATTTACGGCTGATCGAGATCTAATAGTTGTCAGCAAAGTTGCTTATGCTATTCTATATCATTTACAATGAAAATCAGCAACATTCATAATGGGAAAGCATGTGTCGAGTAATACATAAAATTTTTTCAAGATCATCTTGTTTTCATTTATCATCATGCTTAGTACTGAACAGTGAATCAGCATGGTTATCATGTTGTTATTAGATGGTTGGAGGCAATCGGCAGGAAGCCTTGGACCTAAGTTTCGTGCTTATTGGCACTCGCCAGCAAGGCGTATCTTCAATCTTAAAGGAACTCATTTCCCTTCTGAGATTCGAACCCGTGTTACCCAGTGCTGCATTCAGAGACGTTACCACTGAGATATCGGGGCTCGCAATTGATCTCCTGTAGCACCATATTAGATACTTAGTTATCATGTTTCATCCCCTTCATCTATTGAAAAATCAAGATGGCTGGCTGTTTAATCACTTTGACGTAAAACCTACAAGTAACACAGAAACTGCATATTTCATGGTGTTATTGTATATATGAAACTGATTGAAGGTTTAGTGTATTTCAGCTCTATAAAAACATGTTTTTTAATTGCTTCGTACGGAAAGGGAAATACTTTCATTCTGAAAGATAGTCAAGTAGCAACATGGCGTATTCCTGCAAACAACAAATGAACTACTTACACAAACGAAAAGGATTAGTTCCGTAATCAGTTGATAGGAAATTACCCAACTGCTGAAATATGTAAAGCAAACAATGCGGTTAACAAATTTCTTCCCAGTTCTTGAAGTAGGTATCCCTCTCTAGGGTTACCTCAATTAAAATATTAGTGACAGGCTTATAAAGTAGTGATGTTAGTTGATATCCGTTATTTCTAATATATAATGCAATTTTTTCAACTAATATGACAACAGTAAATGTATGTCAGCATTAATGATGCCTGCAATATTTGTGAGATCTACCTGACTAGTACCTGTTTAATATTTTTAATTAGTATAGTTTGGGATGTTAATGAAAATTATTCAATGTTCTAGGAGTTCAGACACGACTCGAAATGCTTCCTAAACAAGCTGCGTAACTTTATCTTTGTCTTAAATCTAAATTATTACTAAGCCTTACTAGCAATTACTTCATAAGGATTAAGTGTCAGTAAGCCTGCAGTTGCTCATACGAATATTACTGTTTATTCCCCTAATTGAATTATTAACAGAAATAAATTTGTGAATACAGTAATATAAAGGAGGAGTGCACATTATTGTATGTGTACACATAAGGCTGCATATATGTGCATATTGACTGACCAATTTTCAATTCCTAAACAAGAAGACACCTAGAAATCAATAGGATAACTGACCATCTAACTAACCAACTAACAACTAAGCATATTTCGCAAATCATTGATTTTCACACACACACATTTATAATTATAAGATGCAATAGATAAGCCAAAAAGAAGATTTTTTAAAATGTATATACAGATTTATAGGTTAGTCAATTTCGTGGATGTGCAAGGTGGATTAAACTAAATAAATTAATGACTGTTGATTTTTTTCTTTGCACGCAATAAAATGATTTTGAAAAGAATCTCCAGGCATCACAGGAACTAAAAATAATTCGCAGATGTTTTGTATAAAAGCTAAATGAAAAAGATTTCACATATTTTACACAATTCAAGGACCATTGGATCGGATCCCAGTGGCTCAATGGTCTACGAGCTCGCCTTGTAACCAGAAGGTCCTGGGTTCGAATCCTGGCAGTGGGTGCGTACTGATGAAGTGTCCCAAACTAGGACGAAACAGTTGTCCAGTACACCCAGGTTTTCCAGTGGTTCTCTAACTGATGTCAGCTCATGATGAAATCTTCCATGCAATTTCACATATTTATCTGGTGATTAAACCATGACAATGTTTATAGAGAATGATGAATCAGCGATGAATAAAAACTCCGTATGTATATTTGGTTTGTGTAATGTATTACAAGATTTGTATACTGAATGAAATATTTATTTAAATAGATTCATTTAGGCCGAAGGAGATGGACTGAATATACGCTGGGTCGACCTTCAAGTGATATTGAGCACCAAGCTTTCAATTGGAACCTACATAACAGTTAACAAGTTGGGCGTCTGAGAGTGGTGAGGAAATCAAAGCTTGTGAGTAGTTGTGGAGACAAATGAAACTGATGGAGAAGAAACGACTGAAATGGAAATGTGCCAGTGAAGCATACCATATTTACTTCAGGACGCAAGGAATGAACAATAATAACAGTAATATAACTCTTAACAGTCTAGTTAATGATAACTAAGTTTTTCAGGTATCTATTAACATAAACCATCTGACCGCCTGACAAAGCATGACTGAGCTCTAAATCGATTTATTCCATTTCGCTTTATGTTGATGCTTTCATTGAAAAAATAATATTACTGCTGATTCTCTGTGGTTTCCGAAACGCATTTATTTTTACTATGGACACTGAATAGTGTGGAAATTGAATGCACTGCCTGGGACAATGAAAACACACCAGTCTATAGGCTGTGAACACATTTTAAATGATGATGAATGCCCTATTGAAGGGTACAGCAGTACACAAATCCAGTAAATGATTATTACTAATGTAATGGGATAATGATGATGACGATGAAACTAATAAAAGATGCTCAAGGGAACCTGATCATCAAGGAGGAGAAACAAATCAAACAATGGGCTGATCACTTTAAAGGACTCTTGAATCGACCACCACCGGCAACTCGCCCAGAAATACCACCAACGGCACACACGGAAATGCCAGTGGACACCACTCCCCCAACGAAAGAAGAAATCCTGAATACGATCAAGCTACTGAAGTTCAGTTGGGAAGGCAGCAGGACCAGACGGCATTCCTCCCGAAGCACTGAAGACGGCCCCAGAGACTACGGCAGATGTTCTCACTTCATTACTGCAAAAGTTTCGAAAGAAGGAAAGGTGCCTACTGATTGGAAGAAGAGCTACCTCGTCAAACTTCCAAAGTAGGGCGGCTTACGCCTCACTCTGCAAGAACTGGCGTGGAATAATGCTCTTGTCCACGCCAAGTAAAATACTAAGTCCCATCATCCTGAAGAGAATAAAGGATGTACTGGATACAGAACTCCTCCCTCCATATGGAACAAGCTGGATTGATAAAAGGTAAATAATGTGCTGATCGAATTGCAACTCTACGAATAGTCATCACAGAACAAAGCATGGAATGATAGTCAAACTTCCGTCTACCTCAACTTTATCAACTTCGAAAAGGCATTCGACAGATAGCGTCGACGGAGAAGTAATTTGAAAACTGCTTCAGCACTACGGGGTGCGGTGCCCAAATCTTTAGCAACTTCATTCAACCACAGCTATATCACAATGCCACGTGTCAGGTGATCCACAACGGAAAACTCAGTGAGGCGTTCGAAGTGAACACAGGAGTAAGACAAGGTGGCTGTCTATTATCACCGATTATGCGTCAGACTGTTAGGGGCGAGGAGTCAGGAATACTCTGGACTACCGATAAGAAGACTCTAGAAGATGTGGATTTCGGAGATGATATATGTTTAATGTCACTTAAACTCGAAGACCTATGGGCGGAAACCAACAAAATGGCTAAAGAAGCAGCGAAGACAGAACTGCAGGTGAACATACAGAAGACGGAGGTGATGAAGATAAGAAACTAACATCACCACGAACCAACCAGCACCAGTCATCATCTACGGAGAGATTTAACAGAGGTTTTGTCCTCCACTTATCCGGCTAGGAAGCATCGTTTCAACTACAGGCGTAACGGATGAAGACGTCAAAGTCAGTTAAAATCGGAAAGGCAGCCTTCATCAACCTGAAACCAGTTTGCAAATCTTCTGCTATCACTCGGTCAGCGTAAAGAAGATTCGCATTTTCAACACAATTGTGAAATCAGTCAGTGCTTCTATGCGGGTCAGAAACTTGCATTGCGCCTCACGAGAAACATTTCCAACAGCTAGTTGCAGACTTCCATCAAATGCTGCTTTCGCTGGCTGCATACTGAAGATCAAATGGCCAGAAAGAATAAACAACAAGAAACTATGAGAACAAACCAACGAAGAGCCGATCGCTCAACAAATATGTAGGAGAAAATGGAGATAGATTGGGCATACATTGAGGAGGCCGTCAAGTGACATCGCACGCCAGGCCAGCACTCAAGTGGAATCCCAATGGGAAGCGACGAGTGGGTCGTCCTAGGGTGACATGGAGGAGATCGTGTGAGAAAGAGATGAGAGAGTTTGGTCAATCGTGGACCCAGCTGAAGAGGACGGCAGAAAACAGAACAAAGTGGAGATGTGTTGTTGAAGCCCTATGTTCCACTCGGAACGCAAGGGAATAATAATAATAAATGGGATAATACTATAGTCTATAAAGTTATAGACCAGTGACCTGACTGCATTAAAAAAACTTTCTGTTTATCTAGACAACTTGACGTCATAAAATTCAGTGGTCAGAGATACTATGTGAAAACAAAAGTACAGACGTATTCACTGCTTATCGTTTATAAGTTACCAAGGCAATCCCATCGAATTTTGATTTATTTGGTCGTCATTTTAAATCTTACAATATCACTTCCATTTCTGTTAGCTTATTTTTATCTCTCTTTAAATTGAACTGATAAACTTTTGGCGTCAACTGTACTTTTATTTGTCTGTTGATATCACTGTAATGGAGATTTAGTTTCAGACTGGACTACAGTTTTTAAGTAGGCCACTTCTAACATTTTAGAACGTAAATTATTCATTTCTTCATATTGTAACTTGGAATGACTATAAGAGGGTTAGAAAAGAGTGCCTGATACAACTATGTCTGACTGCTGTTACCACGCTGAAATAAAGTATATCGGTAGTTGAAGATGGGAATTTCACTTCTGTATTGTAATATTTTATCAAAATTATTAGATAGATAGTTGGATTTTACAAGCTAATACAACCATAAGTTCAAAACGAAAACACTCTGAACAGAGATGTCATTTTTGTTGTTGATAATAGATAGGTTAGAATTAGTTTGTAAAACATAATGGCTGAAGTCGGAAAACATGACTTAAAAATAGGAGACATACTACTTGCACATAAGTGTCACATTATATACTGATACGTTTAATACTAAAATGCTTCATAAAATACTCCCAATAAGTCACGTAATCGCCTCACTTAATTAGTGGCCTCCTTAAATCACTGGGATGCCTACACCTTATTTACTCTATTTCATGTTATTTTAATTATCCAATTACATCCTTGAACTGCAATCTATACTCACGCCTATTTCACGATGGACTTCAACTTACTAGTATAGATTTTTCGAAGGAGATGAGGGAAAAGAATAGCAGGTTATTACAGCATGCTTTTCATAGAGCAATACTGCTTCAAATGATATGTTATCGATCATTAAATTTACTTGAAGATTCAACATCAGGAGTAAATACTTTGTTTTATGCATTAATGCATTTTCAGAATGTAGCTATCACTACTACTGTTCGATTACAATAAGACTTTATCTACCAGGCGTTGAAATTAATGTAGTTTGAACTATTCCCGTTCTAGTGGCGCATTAAATCATCATTACATAGTTTACTAATACGTGTATTAGATAGTAGACAATAGTTCTATTCGTTACAACATGTATTTATCCTGTCACATATTCAATATTACGTTTTTACGTCAGACTCAATTGAGTAACTTTAAAACGGAATGAGTTGCAGCAAGGGTTCGTGATATTTGACCCATATATTCAGTATTCGTAATACATTTGTGAGAGTAACAGAAGCACATAAGATACCGTTATCTTGGAATTAGTCAGTTGCTGGTTATATCACAAATTCACTAATTCAATAGTTACAATGAAATCCTCAACAAGAATACTTAGACAAACTTGCATATTAATACACTAACCCCACTTAGTTACACACCTAAATTTGTTATCACAGATGGAGAAAAGTTAAAACAATTTCTTTGTTTGAAAATTTAGACTTATTGAAACCATAATTATTGTAAAATTCATAGTATTATGAAGTTGAATACTTGAAAAATACACAGTTCAAAGGCGAAGTTCTTTCTAAGTTTTATTTGAAAATCTAAAATGTTTAGATCACAGTATCTAATTAGCTGGAGGCTACAGATGACTTTAAACACACACTATCCAGGTATGGATAGATTTCAACTCATTAGTCTACTTCGGTGTACCATTAAGTGTATAAACATTCATACGTTTTCACTATTTTTATGTGTATATAAGCGCCTAAGATACTATTGCATTCTACACTCATGCTTGAGGAAAGTAACACTGACAGAAATTATCTTTGCACACAATCAGAAGCTAAGAAAGAGTTATTTTCTTCAGTCATATGATGGATATGGAGACATCAGGTAACTATTCAATACAGATAATCCAATAATTTCAATACACTAAACGAAAAAGTGGCGTCGGTGGCATAGCGGTTAGGACGCTCGCCGACCATGCACATGGTCTGGGGTTCAATCCCCGACCGACGCACTCCTTTACCTCGCTAAGCCAGAAATAATGCTGGTGAAGAGGAAAGGTTGGGCATGAGGCTAGCAACCCCATACTGTAAAATAAACACTGCTACAGAAACTTCAAGCCACAAGCTTGAAGCCCTATGTTCCACTGGGGAACGTGAAAAAAAAACGAAAAAGTGAGATGCATAGTGATGCGTGTAGTGAAACGAAATGAGCAGTAATCATAGTACCAGTAATTGCACATTTGACAAGAACTCAAAACCTTAAAAAGTCATTCTAAAGCAAAACTCAGAAATCGAACAGGCATCACAATAGAAATAACAGGAAATGAGACAACCAACTTACTTTACTCAGCTGTTTATCAACTGATTGTTCTTCTGAGTAATGACTAAGATTATTGGTAGATACTGTTGGTGTAGTTACTGATGTTGTTGTTGTTGCTGTTGTTGTTGAGACACTTGACGTTGTTACATTTGTTATACTACTAATTCCATTGCCTGTCATTTGATTTGATTTCATAGGTACATTAGAACTGGAATTACAATCTGTAGTAATTCCTGAGACAGAAGAAGAAGAAATTGGAATTGACGAGGAAGTGGATGAAATTTCATTCGGATTCATTGATAGATTATTATGATCAAAAGTAGATGAAACTTCAGTAAGCACTGGTAACTGTCCCATATTATTGTTTGTAGATAAATTAGGCATAGCAGCGTTAGGCGGAGGTGACATTACAGAAGATCCACCACCATTGCCACTTGAAAACGGTGGGATCGGTGGTATAAAATAAGGTCCAGGTGTAAATGAATGAGGGTGAAGATGAGGAAGTAAATGGAACGGAGGTACGAAATGCGGTGGTGGTGCTAGTGTTGTAGCAACAGGAATAGGAGTCATTGATGGATGAAGAAAATGCTGAGGTCGATGACCAATATGTGGAATGCTCCCAAAATAGTATATATTTAAATTTGGATGGTGTTGTTGTGGTGGTGGCAATGGTATTTGAGATGGTTGAGCACTAGGCGACGAATTAGTAGTAATCCCATGAGGAGAATTAGATGGTACACTAGTAATATTTGTTGGTAAATGGTTTGACGAAGTTTTCGTAGTATTGGCACCATTATCTGTAGAAGTATTAATTGTCGTTGTTGTTGTTGTTGTTGCTGCTGCGGGTACGATTAAACGTGGATCATTTGAGCTGGTATAAGCTACGGAACATACTGTTTGTGGGCGTGAGGACTGTGGTACTGAAATAGACACATGACCAGGATGTGCATTTTCTAAACTTTCACAACCAACTGGCCTGTAATGAACACGTTGAAGGGAAAGTGGTGAGCCTAATGGACTGACAGCTGGTGTACTCGATTGACTATCTAATCCACTTGAAAATGATTTTTTCCGTCTGTGCAACAAAAATAATCAAAACATAACAAAAGTAGAAAAAATAAAAATGAAAACATAACTATGGTTATTAAATGATTGTAACAGTTATAAGTATCGTAGATACAGTGGAATTACAGTGAACCAATTGACTATAACAAAATAATTTGAAAATTTATTGAGGCGAATCAATGCAGTGAACTTGAATCTCAATATACATTCAACTTATTTCAAACTTTCTTTCATCATATCACAATAGGATGATGCAAGAGCAATAAGTAGCAAAATCAAAGTAGAAGAAATAGAGCATGTCAATAGTTGTAAAGCAGTAAAGACGAAAGGGCAATGAATCAATGAATACTTTAAAAAAAAAAGGTGAAATTAATATAAAAAGAATTTTCCTATTTATCAAAAGGTCAGGCATGAAAAAATTCATGTTATTCAGATTAACAGTGATACATAAAAGGAAATACCTCGTCAATAATCAATGTCTGTGTCTTATATTTGTGATTATTTAAGTACAGTATACCTAGTAACCTAATAAATTTTTTTTGCTGAATCTAATGCTCTTTGAGTTTTTTATCACGTAGTTGAACGTATACGTGATAACTGTATGTTGCAATTTTTGTGACCGCAATGTTTGCATGTGTATTGATCTAATTTTCAATTTTATGATTATTTGTCAGTGCAAAATGTCTTATAATAACTGTTCAATTAGTTTTGAATCGTCTTTTTTTAATCCAGCACGTATTTTCTCTGTTATAGCTAAGCTCAGGTAATCAAGAAATCGTCTACCGTTCAGGGCAGAGATGTTGATATTCGATAGTATTACCAATCCAAGAAAAATTATTATTCATTATTAAATTGATCATGAGCACCTTATTTTTAGTGGGCATTCACAATCCCCCTTATCTGTTCCCACCACAAGTAAAATCTAATACTGAGTATGATTAATATTCAAGTTAATTGTAAATCACCTTGTTGTTAAATGCAGTCTTACAGTGATGCTGATATAGAAACAGTAAAAAAAATTAGCTCAGATAAACACATCACATATGTGAATCATCAGCAGATTTTCAATTCCACCTTGAAAATTTACCAAATAATAAACTACTCTGGCAGTAATGAAAATATTGACCAGTTTTCTTAGGTGAATTGCTCTGAGACGTGGCTCATTAAAGTGGAAGGCCTAAAAAGGTGAACTGTCTTTAACCATATTCGTCTGAGTTCTGTCTCTAATGTTAAGTGGGGTAATATAGTCAGTAATGCTGAGGTTAGGCGTAGTGTTTTGGGTAACGAGGATGAGTCAATCGCCTAGTTTGAGAAGCTAAACGGATAGACAAAGTTGCGGCACGTGTTAGACATGCCAAGCCACCGCCCTTCCCATTGTAAAATATTAGCTGACAAAGGATAAGGTTGGAAAAGAGTTAGTCTTCATCAAACCAAAACAGGGCATCTATCCATGAAGTCTTTGACTGTGGATTTGAAAAATGTAAGAGGGGGGTGTAGACCAGCTGACTGAGGTCTACGAGAGAGTAGGAAGCAGTGAGAAGACACTGCTGGTAACATGTCTCAAAATCGTCTATGATGACACAGATGCATTCACACTTTATGAACTGGAAGGTTCATTAAGATATCACTATTGCGCATTTAATTATTCTTTCCCCGAAAACATCTCAGTTCATTACAGTTTATCTGAATTGAATTTTTTATACATTTGTATATGTGTGTGTATTCTATAAAGTGTATGAATTTGAACTGGTGTACTTTACCGCAAAATTCTACATGAAACCTCAATCATTTGGTCGGATGACTTACTTATCGATAATTAGAATTGTTAGAAGCTTTTTATCTCTTCCTATCAATCTCTCACATGTGATGTGCACATAAGTGTTCGTTACGTTTATTTGGTTGGTGTATCGGCTACTTTATAGCGAGTGTATTTTAACGCTTAAAATACGTCAAAGCAGTTTGAATTGGATCATAAAAATATAGTCAATAAAATCTCAATTGTTTGTTATTGAAACTGTGTGACTTATTTTACACAGAGGAATGATTTGACGAGAATTCGTCTGTTGTATTAAACACAAAAACCAACACTTAAAACTACCACATTGTATAAAGATGCAACATCAGACATATTGAATTTATGGAAGGTAAATATTATAATCCAGCTATTTCAGTATCTTAAACAGGGAATAAATCGTCCACTTATTTGTTGAATACATTTCGAGGCATCCCTCAAAGTGCAGAATAGTGAATCGGTACCCACCCTTACCTGATATCTTTCATGATACGCTTTGGATATAATCAATATACATTGTACTAATTTAATCTTTACAACCTCGATCATTGGATGAGGGAGAAGCTGGAATGTGTGGTTCCTTGTTGTCGTCATCTTTTCATCTTTTCCTATTTTAATAATAATAATTCACCTTAAGTTATTGATGTTCACTAATTTTTATCTTCATAATTTTCCGTAATTCACTCTATAACCACAATTCATTATGACCACAATTTCAGAATAATGCCCTAATCACAAATATGGTTCTTGATATTTGAATATGTATGTGGTTTATTGTATTCGACATGTAAGCATCATACGGAGACAGCAAGCGTTGTTGTATTCTTCAGAGATTCCATCAAGCCATCAAATTCATATCTGAGCGAGAAACCAGACAATTTCCTTTCTGAACGTCAGTCTAACAAAGAAGGCTGATGGAATATTGAAAGATCAGTATAAAGAAAGCCTATGTGGAATAGTCGGCTGGAAAACTTCTACAGTTGGGTACCCATAAATTTGCAAGCAAAACTTGGTAATATCTCTTGCCACTAGAATCAAAAGCATCTGCAACCCTGCAGCGGTAGATGAAGAGATCACTCTTTTGGGAAAGACACTAATTGAAAATGGGTACCCCGACGCTTTATAGATAAACAGAGAAAACCAGAAGCCAACAAAGGAAACCACATCTCTGCGTTGAAGAAGATCGTATATATGAATGTGGTGTACAGAGACGACCTTCTGGCCAACGACTTAAAGAAAAGAATATCGAACGCCCTAAAAAACATTCTTTGCCTCTATGCTAACATTGCTATTATCTTGCCACCCAATGTTCTCAAATAACCCTAAAGATTAACTATTGCTTTTGACCCCTTCTGTATGTAAATACCAATACACTGGCTCCTGTAGAAAGACATATACAGGTCGTATATTAAGTGCATTATCTAAAAGAGTCAAGTAAAATTATCCCACATAGCTACACAAACGTGACAATGGATCAACAAGAAGTGCTATAATGGAACATATATTCAACATCGCTACTCAATATGTGAGGGAAATGCATTCAGAGTTGTCTATCCCGAAAATGGTAAGCTTCCATATACTTTGTATTTCTGATGCCTCACAGATTCGGATGGAAAACACTAATTAATGTACACAGAAGGAACCTTCTTCATTTCCTGCATCTATCTTCAGTATAATTCCAAGCCCAAATGTTATCAGTATTTTGTTATTGATACTATTTTTGGCATTTTTCTTATGACATTTATAAAAATCATTTTCTTAACAAACCTTTTGTTCACTCTCTTCATCTACTGCATAATTTATTTTTATACTTGTATTCATGCTCTTTCATAAACATCCAATTTTCTTTTCTGAACGTTATTCATATTATGTAACCTTCGCATAAACTTACTAATCTTCACCACTCCCTAGTCATAATTAGATTATTCATCACTGTTTTGAAATATTTTGATGATGTAAACAGTAGTCCAAAATAATTTTTTATTCTTGTGCTATATACATGTAATTGTGATTGTGATTCACTGAAAGGAGTCCCGTAGCTGAACTGTTTACTCTTACTTCTTTAGAGATGAAGTCTCATTTATCAATCATATCAGAAGTCTGATGACATCTTGCTAACTGAATGAAAAACCCAGTGATTTCTAGATACTTTTTTTTAGAAATATTCCTTCTGTTTATATGGATTATGCGTAATTAAAATTCTTAAGTAATTACACTCATTTTCAATACATTAACTTTTGACGGAAGTTTAATATTACTTCAACTCACAAGAATACCAAAAAATATACTGTACTCAATAAGATCTCATTTTCTGACTTTAAATTTGTAAAAACATGAACCAAATATGTGAATTAGAATGTTTGAAAAATAGGTAATTTTAAATGATTTACCAATAATCTGAATATTTTCAGTAATTGGTTTATAAGGATTAGATTAAATTTTAACAAGTTGATCACGGACAGTTATCAGTTAGAGAACCATTGAAAACCAACTGAGAGTACTGGACAGCTGTTTCGTACTAGTTTGGGAATCATCAGCAGTACTATTGAAAATTAATCTGATGCTCGCTAGTGACTTGTTACAGGACGGAGTTTCTTGAAGAAGTGACCAGTGAGGTCCATCCAATCAAGTGTGAGGATGGATATCGCACCGATGATACGGGTTGGTGGTCGCGCTAAATCACGAATTGGTAAAAGTTAGACTTCATGGGCCATTGAATCGGGTCGCAGTAGCTGAATGGTATACGAGCTTGCCTTGTGACCAGAAGGTCCTGGGTTCGAACCCCAGTGAGTGCGCACTGCCAATGATTCCCAAACTAAAATGAAACAGCTGTCTGTCAGTACTCCAGTGCTGGTTTTCAATGGTTCTCTAACTGACAACAATCCGTGATCAACTCGTAAAAAATAAATCTGAATATCAACAGATAGCATTGTAGAAAACTTTCCTTCTACAATGTGAATATTACAGAATGAAAGAAAACTCCATGTTACGTGGTTGGATACAACTGACAAGAAGCTTTGAACTTAGTTATCAACTTTAATGTCAGTCTTCATGAAACAGAGTCCAAATCGTTATACGGTGTAGTCAGTGACGTTAATACTGAGCTCTTTGGGCTATAGTTCACCTCCAGTAAAAGAATAAGCACGATTGGTTACTTCCTAATCATCATTCGATATACAAAATTATGTATGTTATTACACATTGATATGTCAATCTGTCAACTTCAATTCAATACTACAAATACATAAAGGTGATTCTTATTTATACAGGTGTTAATAATGAGGTTATTTCGGAAAATATACAAGACAGTACAATAAAGACTGTCTGAACTAAGAAAGAAGTAGTCATTGAAATATGGAAACAAATTCTAGACATGTCTAGACATTCTTAATGAAGACGTTAACAGTTATGGCATTTAAACAAACAACTGATAACTTAAATAGTGAATATATATGCTTCCGAAAATGTGCATATTCTGACAGTTTAGTTGTTCAGATAATTTGAACATACCTGATTAATTTTTCAATGATTCCCAACAGATAAATATACTAATCCAGATCAATCTTTGATGTTTATATTGATATTTTTATATACTAAGATTATTAATGTAGAATTCTTAATAAGGAAGGAATTAGAGTGGCATTTAGACCTACAAACTCACTCAGGTAGGACAAGCTCTGTAGGTTAAAGGACCCTGTCGGTTGACCCAATTAGACAACATAATATAATTTACAGAATACCTTGCAATGACTGTGAGCTAAGTCAACTACATAGATCAAACTAGTAGATCGGAGGTAGTCAGATTGTCGGAACATAAGAATCTAGCTAAGGTAAGGATGGTTGACCCCAAGAAGATAAGTAATTTAGAAAAAAAGCTCAGCGATTGCACTGCGTACATTAACACACAATAGGGTGGGAAAGGGTTAAAATTCTAAGAAGTAATATACGTAGGTGAAGAGAGAGGTTGATTGCTGAATTCTTGTTCATCGAGTCTACACCCAACACGTGCAACAGGAATAACTCATCGCTAATACCAGAAATATAGAAAATACTACTACCAATCAAGTCAAGCGATGAAAAATAATGGAATTATATAAAAGAAGTTAGAAAGTTGTGTGAGTAGTGTCTTGATATGATTATGAGCAATAAATTGTGCTCGAAACGTCATCAGTAAATATTACTGTACAACACTGTGAAACTTTATCAAAATAAATTTTACCCATAATAGAATTATACCCTGCCACAGTGCACAAGTTCTATTCTTGTACTAAGATTTTTACCTTAATGGAATGATGAACACTATATAGTAATAAGAGTAAGCTTGTTTTAAGAGTTACATTTCGCATGATATATATTCGATTGCTAGGGATAACAGATTATTGTTAGCAGACTATAGTTACCTAGATCTCAATTACCCAGAACGCACTTTACATGTACGAGGTTATGCGTCACACTTATTATATATGAAAACTAATGATAATACCTAGTAACTAAGGCTGATGTAAGTGGAGCAGGGTTCGAATCCTGGACCCAGTAACTGAAAATCAAGTGCTGAAACCAATGAGCCATATTTTCATATGGCAGTAGGCATTCATTGATGATAATAATAAAAATAATAAGCAACGCATACTTGCCGACAGAGATTATAAGTGAAAAGATCATAATTCTAGGTAATTAAGACAAAAACAACAACAACAACATAATTAGTGGACCATAGTTTTGAATATTACAGATGGATTACAATATTTTCGTTATGAACATAGAAAAATCCTTAGTTCACCTCTTCATATTATATATATGTAAGCATTACAGCGGAGTATATGAAAAATATAATATAAACACAAAAAGAAGCTGGGAAATAAAAGTAAAACCTGCACAAATTATTGATTGATTGTACTGCAATAGTTTAGTCATGAAACACTAATGCTACAGGATAGACAGATAGATAATGCCTTACAAAAAAAGGAATGGAAATGAACAGAAAATGAAGGGAAGTTAAGATATCTGACTTCTAGACAGGAAAAGGTAGCACTTTTAAGAGTGTTATATACATATATATATATATATATATATATATATATATATGCACAAATCCAGGTAAAATTCACCACTCTTTGCATATATACACAAAGATCTTTATAAGTGGATAATTATAAAATTGACATACAGTATACAAAACTGATGTTATTATTGTTATTACTAAAATTTTCAAAAAGAAGAAGAAACAACGAGAAAACGAACAAAAAACCACAGAATCAATAGTGAATATTATTATTATTATTATTATAATTAAAATACACAGTTAACTGACGAATACACTGTAGTAATATTATGCCGTGTAGGAATAAAGAAAGAAGAAGAGGAAGGGAAAGTGAAACGTCTAGACATTTTAGCAACCAAAAACGATACACCTAAATGGTCTGATTTAACGTGTGCATAATAAATTTATTTTAAAAATGGATAAATGAAGTTATCAATTCATCTTCACGGGAAAAAAAAGGAACGAAAAATAAGTTGATGAAAAATTAACCCACACATTAATTAGAAACAATATTTGTATGCGTTTTATGAATTTCTCTGTGTATGTTTCATTACGACAGGTTAAGAGTAATGAAAAACAGCTAGAAGTAGATGGTCAGAGAATTACTGCGTTTGGAGACTTACTGGCAAAACACACACCCATAGATATGTGCTTGATCTAATTATCAACATACTAAAGACAGATTCCCTAAGTTTCTAATGTGAATTTGTAACTGGTGAGAACCATCAAGTTGGGAGTAAAGAAAATTACATACTAAAGACAACATATGCAGATGGTGGTTCTATCTCGCTAATCTACTGAACACACAAGAAACCCTCCAGTGATGTAATGAAATAAATAACAAACTACAATGTTCATAAAGATTAGAAACAGGAAGTCAACATCATATACAATTTCCTCGAATTCCCTAGAGAAAAGTGAACTCTTTAAAACACTAATTGTTGTTTTAACGCAATAAGGCTTGAAAAAACAAAAAACCCGGCGAAAAACTTTAGACAGTATTTCTTAAAAAGGTTTAGTAATCCATTTAAATAACAGCGCCACTTTTCATGAATTCTCGACACTTTTTTTAATGGAAAAATCGCAGTAATATTGAGAATTAAAGGTTATAAATTCAAAACATAATAACTTCATCCTTAAACACTCGTTACTTTTTGTACAACAGGTATTTCAAACAAAAAGATGCAATATTATAAAGGAACAATAGAACAAAAAAATAGAAAATAATTTAATTAAATCTACAATAATATTATTGATACTTACAACTTTTGTACAGCTAAACCTCGGCGACCAGATAATGGAGAACCTTCACTTAAATTGCCAAGGGATAAGCGCGATGAACCGTTCAATGTGAGCTTTAAACTGTCTATCCTTTTACGGGGTGGATCAGCTATTAATTGAAAGAATAACGAATGAATGAAAATTTGATATATGTACTGATTGCATATATATATATATATATATATATATATATATATATATATATATAAACATTATGATGCATCCAGTTATGTGAACATGTAGGTTCCACTATACCTACTAACTTACACAAAAACAATGATAATAATTTGACAGTATACATAACGAGATATTTTTTTCTCATTAGAATATCCCCATACATGTATGAATTAAATTAAAATCTACGCATGAATTTATAATGTGCGTAAAGCACAATCTGAAAAAATGGATCACAACAATATTAATGACAAGTGACTAACTGAACCACTAAGCCATTTAGGATGTTTACTTTTGATGTCAATGGAGAATCATTCTACAATAAAATTACTGGGCTTAGAAGCATTAGATTGCAAGTAATCACATCAGGAAATTACAATCTTAAAAAAAACAGTTCCAGTTTATTACGAGTCATGTGGAAAAAGAGCAATTTATAATTTGATCATGAAGAATTTGTCATTACTATTGTCTTTCGTGAGTTTATTTCGAAGGATTCGATTTGTTTTAAATTTAGTTGTGGATTGATATCAGCTACAGAACCACTGGAAACCGAGGAGTACCGGCCGCCTCTTTCGTCCTAGTTTGGTACTCATCAACCCTGGAACTTCCGGTTACAAGGCAAGGTCGTAGACCATTCAGTCGTTAAGACTCAAATCAGTGGCCCTGTGGGTACGAACCACAGTGGGTGAGTACAGTCGATGAATCCAAAACCATGACGAAACAGCTCTCTGGTACTCCCTGGTTTTCAGTGATTCTCTAACCAATACTAATCCATGGCCAAACTTGAAACGAGTGGAATCCCCACAAACTGACTAATGAAAGTTAATCTGATGCTCGCTAATCACTGGCTGCGGGACGAAATTGCCTGTATTTCTAATGAGAAGTCATGACCAGCGGGGTCCACCTAGTCCGGAGTGAGGATAAATATTCACAAAAGACATTGTTTGTTGATCGCCCTAAAGTTACTATTATCCATTACAAACTTTTAGCTTCTAAAATAACTATGGATATCAACATTGAGGATGTTACCTAAAAGTTAAATGCATGAAAGATAATAAAATGAAGCGATAAAATAGTTTTGTAATTAACGTCCAGCAGATTTATAATGATTTCAAGTTTCTATTGAATCGTCCAAAGACAAAACTTCCACAGTTATTGTGATTAATGCCGTCAATTGAAGAGAACTTCAAAATAAAGATGTGAAGAATACAGACGAGTTAAATTAACCGAAACATATGATTAAAATATGAAAAAGAAACTATGTATAAGTACAGTCTTTAAAAAAGATAAAATATTTTGAAAAGTCTCCAGGTGTGCGTCGGTGGTTCAGTGGTAGAATAGTCACCTATCACGGACGTGGTCTGGGTTCAACATCACGTTGACACGCTCCTGAAATTGCTTCAGCGTGTAGTAAGGACGGTAAAGAGGAAAGGTTGGGTGTGTGGCTAGCTCAAGTTTGAAGCCCTATGTCCCACTTGGAACGCAAGGGTATATATATATGGTCAATAATCACTGAGTTCCATATCATGAATACATGAAGACAGCTAGTAGGAAACACTGATAAACCACTCACCAGTTACCTAGAAAAAACGTATAGTCTCCAAGGGACTTGAACTGTTACACTTCATTATCACTTCCAATTCAAATAATGTCGGTCATTTTGATACTAGGAAGTGCAAGCTTAAAGCATTGAAGAATTATGTATACAATCCAGTTGACATTAAAGAATTCAAACATTTTTTCTGTTCCAATCAACATATTCATATATTAAATCATGGAATTTCAAATGATTATTTTTCTCTATCAGACATTGAAATTCAACATCGAGAAAGCCCATTGAATGTGGCGAATGAAATAACATTTGAAAACATGGCCATTCATTTAAACTGATTCTATGTCGAATAATCTCAATAACGATTATGAAACATAAATAAACCCAATGACATAAACAGACCTATCAAAATTTAAGTGGCAAATTGTTTTTAGACGAGTGTTTATAGACTACATTATTATTCATTCTAGAAATAAAAACTAGTACAAGGAATTGTCAGGAATAAAGGAGAGGTTAGAGGATTTCATCAGCAGCAGACATCAGTTAGAGAACCATTGGGAAACCTTCTGGTTACAAGGCTAGCTCATGGGCCATTGGATCAGGTCACAGTGCCTTAATGGTCTCAGAAGGTCCTGGGATTAGAACCCCGACGGATGCATACTGATGAAAAGTCCCAAACTAGGATGAAACAGCTGTCCAATACTCAAAGGTTTTGCAATGGTTCTCTAACTGATGTCAGCTCATGATGAAATCGTCGAACCAATCAAACTAAATCCCTACAAAAATCAATACTTGAAAATAAGAGAATGAATCAATGAAAATTTGAACTAGGTGAACAGAAGCTCAGTTACTTCATAGAAATTCGTAGAATTAATTAATCTACTCAACCTCAGAGAAGAAATATCACGAGGCAAACTAAAAACAGGTGAAGCAATCAACTATTTTAAATAAAAAAAAGAATCAAAACAAACAAACAAATAGCGAAAGCCTTACATAAAAACAATAATTTATTCAATCAAAGCCAATTCAGATGTATAATGCAAAACAAACTGCAAGCACATTCAATGATAAAATAATATATACACATATATATATGAAAATACAATTAAATTACACACATACATATATACAAGGAAACATCACTTTCATTACCTTTTGAAGAACCTAGGCTTTCTAGGAGGGAGTTTAAACATAAATCAAAGATTAAATTTCGCATAACATCGTGAGGAGGAGGAGGAGTTGGTCAATATCAGTGGTGATGAAATCCAGTTATCGTAGCAGTAGTAGACACGACGGATATTTGTACACAAGAGGATGGATGATAGAAGCATAGCGCACAGTGTGCGTATTGGTACGCGCACACATCATCAATATCACATGATGAATGGTTGTGGTGACAGCCAAAGAAATTGATATTTTTGTTGTTGTTGTTGTTATTGTATGTGAGATCGTTACATTAGATGGAATGATTTTAACATGAGATATATGATGATTGTGACATTCACATTGTGCAAACAGAAAATAAAAAGAGAAAGAGAAAAAGAGAAAAAAATATTCGGCAAGCGACAAGCAATAAATGAATCATTATGGGATTATTATTATTACTATTATCATAGCATTATTATCATTACATGGACGAATGCAAAAGTAAGTGTAAAACGAACAGGCCAACACAGACAAGCAATCACAGAACAAAATGCATATTATATTTGCTTCATTTAGAAAAGAAAAAAACAACTAAATAAATGACAATCCAGTGGAAATGATGCAACAGTGGGAAAAAACAAAACAAATAAATGAATGACTGAAGCTGTGAACATAAACCAGTATACGTATGTATATATATATATATGATGCATGTGTATGGTTGGATGGACACGTTTTGTGAAGCAAATAAATAAAAATGTTTTTTTTTTAGAAAATACAAAATAACACTAATCAAGTTGAAAAGAAAACGAAAGTGAAAACAACCTCAAGAATAATAGTTATCTCTGCCTTAAAAAATGATGACTTCACTTGAATTAAATTGAAAGAACAGGAAGAAGGAGAAGGAGAAAGAGAACGTGCTGTTTTTTTTTTGTCACGCATTCATGCATATAAATCAGTTAATGATTAAGCAATCGTTGATGATAGTATAAAATATTTTTTCCGTTTCTTTTTATCTATATATATCATAGGTGAAAAGTAGTTTAGATTAAAGGTGACAGATCTATTCGCCAATGAAGCTATGGCTTACTGGTCTAGTGAGTTAGGGATTCGAATCCCGTTACATGTCTACGCCAAAATAGGCGTAGCTCATGGTCAACTGAACGAAATTGCTATTGGCTGCTGAGTAACTTGACTTGACTGATTCCCCAGTGGAACATAAATTCATTATCCTAAGCTTAGACTTAAAGTGAAATCACCTTCGCAAGTAACCATGATAGAAATACAATTTAGCTATAATACGATTAACAGGAAATTCCTGTTCTTTAGGAGTCTGAAAAAAAAACATTATCAAACTGTCATCTATGTTAGAACATAACAAACTGTTAATTGAGTGTTAAAATGGCTGCAAAGGTCAATATTTCAGATGATATCCACGTGTGATATTCGTTACTAAAAAGATGCAGATAAGCCTTGTACATGCAGACCAGTGGAATTACATTTTGAGTTGCTTATTGATTCCCATTTTCTAATCACCTAACATGGGGTAAACTTCACTGTGGTGCCAAGTTAAAAACGTTCTATTTTATTGATTATGTATATACGTATAACTCCTTTGTGCTCCCAGTGAAACATAGAGCTTCAATTTTCCAATTTTCGGTAGCGATGGTGCTATTTTTACGGGTGTGTTTGCTGGTCTCATGCACATCCTTCCATTTTTCCGGCTTTTAAACTACACGAATTTTAGGAGTACGTTGACTGCAGACCAAACCCAAGTCATATGCATGGCTGACAAGGATATATATATAAATATATTATGGTTCAATCCCCGGCCGGCGCACTCCTTTACCTCGCTAAGCCATAAATAATGCTAGTGAAGAGGAAAGCTTGGGCATGAGGCTAGCAACCCCATCCTGTAAAAATAAACACTGCTACAGAAACTTCAAGCCACAAGTTTGAAGCCCTATGTTTCACTGGGGAACGTGAAGGAAAAAAATGGCTTGATTCCACATAGTATTTTGGTACAAGTATGGAATTTTCAGCATGTAATATCGGTAGCCCGAATTTAGCAGGCCGACCATTGATATCAGGTGCGCGTCGGCTAATGATCAAACCCCGGACCATGTGCATGGTAGGCGAGCGTACTAACCGCTGTGCCACTGACGCACATATATATACATATATCATAAAAGCAGCTTTCTAGCATAATAAAATTCACTACATTTATATAAGTGAAGTATTTACTGTCAAAACGCAATGCTATCATTGTTTGAGCAGTTAGAATTTTATTATTATACAACACTTTCCAAGTTCATTTGTTCTCTATTTGTTTGGTCAAATTCTTAATGTCACTATATTTAATTCTGGTTTTCCTAATCACAAATAACTAAATTGCAGTTTACAGTTAGCATCATTATTTATAGAAGTATAAAACTTGGGCACTGTGGAGCATCATTATTTCTATTAATACTAATAATAGTAAGTAAGAAGAATAGAAAATGAAGAAAATACATCAAAATAAAAATTATAGTTTAATGATTTGCTTTCTATCAATTTTATCGATATTTCATAAAACAGGAATATATATGCACACATGCTCAAGTACATACATATTCATCAGACTCTTGAAAGTAATAAACAGAAGAAAGATGAACGGGCAAAAGAAAATTCCAGAAAAAATAAAGGAAGAAAACATAATTAGAGAATTTGTTTCACAATTCAGTTCAATTCAGGCTAGTTAAAGAAAGATACTTTATTCCCATGACATAAAAATAAATGAGACAATATTGCAGCATTGTATTTGAAGAGAAACAAGAAGAAAGAGAGAACAAACAAGTGTGGGGTAAAATAATAGATCACAGGATTCCTCTTTCGAACAATTCAGTGAAGCACACGTGACAATATTAAGAAACTAAAGTGAATACAATTAAGGTAAGAAATGGGAAAAGTGGAAATAAGAGCCTCAAGTAAAATAAATTGAGTAAATATCCCTATAAAAATGTTAGATCATTACTCACATTTATTTATAACATACAGTACTTAAAAACATTTTGGTTACTTCTTGTCACTATGTGTTGATTTTGAAATTTAAACAAAAGGTGAATAACACAATCACTAGTTAAAACGAAAGTAAAGACGAGTGTATTAGGCTGAAGAGCTCAGTTTGAACTTTGAAATTCCTTATATTCGAGATTCTTCTTACTTGTTATTCGTATCTGCTTTCCATTATTTTAATCCTTTACGTTCCCCGTGGAACATAGGGTTTCAAGCTAGAGACTTGAAGTTTCGTTAGCAGTGGTGTTTACTTTTACGGGATGGGGTTGCTAGCGTCATGCCCAACCTTACTTCTTTACCAGTCGTATTACTAGCTTAGCGTGGTGAAGCAGTGCGTCGGCCAGGGATCGAACCTCAGACCACAAGAGTGGTTGGCGAACATTCTACCGCGGTGCCACCGACGCACCCGCTTTCCATTTGCACGATTTTATTTTGAGAGCTAGACTTCTTGTACAGTTACCATTGAATTAAATGAGAGGATTTTTGTTCCCACCTAAACCTTATAAAGTCAGTATGCATAGTAGTGTGGCGAAAAGAAATTGTGGCATGTGCTACTGATAAGGCTTATCAGTAGTATTTACAGAGACATTCATCGGCGTTAAAATAGCAAATAGCGGGAAGATAGATTTGACATCAAAGGGGACAAATGAACCAGCGTTGCGGTATAACATGAGAGACACGAACAGAAGACAGAGAAACACTAAACGAAGGGCAGAAGTAGCACACCACGGAATATCGGCAAAAATGACGATTTCCAGATATAGTGTACATAATTTCGCTATATAGAGATACCAAATTTCATGTAAACATCTCTTGTCTTCTATCCTTACAAACTGACGACGAAACATAGTCAGAGACTAAAAACTTTATCCCCCTGCATACAGAAGCGATTTTTAAAAGAATAAAAATGTCTTAAAAACAATTAAAAACCTTATGAATATATACATTTCAAGTGTTCATTTTCTGGGGTTTGAATAGGTAAAGGTTTGATCACGAGCTGACATCAGTTAGAGAACCACTTGAAAATCTGGGAGTACTTGGTAGCTGTTTCATCCTGGTTTGGGACTCCTCTAGCAGTACACATCCACTGGGGTTCGAATTCAGGACCTTCCGGTTACAAGGCTAACTGAATAGTCTACCAGCTCGTCCTGTAATCGGGAAGTCCTGAGTTTGAACCTCAGGGAGGCATCCTACCGATAAGTTCAAAACTAGGACAAAACAGATATCCAATACTCCCAGGTTTTCAATATTTCCTAACTAACTAATATCGATCCGTGGGCAGACTTGAAACATAATAAATCTTTGAAAAAAACGTAAGCATAGACCCAATGACAACCATTATATCTTCTTGCACATATTTTATGCTCCAAGCTATACAATATTCTGACAAGTGCTTCTCTGCAAATACAAAAATCTATTACATATATATATACACCTATGGAAGTAAATGTAGAACAGATATTGTCGGTGTTCCTGTTTTTTTTATCTCCATACCTAAAATCATTTATAAAGTAGATTAATCTATCAGGATTTCTTTTTTTGAATACATAAAAAAAGAGAATCAGTAAACAAAATATAACTGAACTGACGTCACAGATTATGTATGTCATCAGATTAACACTGTCTGACTAAATGGAAAAACGTTGCTTAAGCTATTCAAATGTTCCGAAATGAGTGAACATTTAGATATTAAGTTATGCAAAAACGAATGAAATCATTAAAATGCTTAGATGATAAAATAAATGTGGAAAATGATGATAATAACAACAACAACTACAAGTATTGGTTTGTAGGGATTTGGTTGATCAGTTACAGGATTTCATCATGAGGTGATGTTGGCTAGAGAACCAGCTGGGAGTACTGTACAGCTGTTTCGTCCAACTAGTTTGGGACTCTTCATCGGTACACACCCATCGGGGTTCAAACCAACTACAGTTGAGTAATACAATTCGAATTTTTGCGTACTAACGGTT